ACACACTCACATTATTATGATCGTACAAATGCCGGTATTTCCTTTATAACATTAAATCCGTGTATCCTTTCCAAGGAAATTCCCTAATCAAACGAAAACGAAATGTGCTGTAACAGAGAGCAGAACTCAACTAAAAATGGTTGGAATTGAAATTGGAGTAAATAATCAATTACATCCGCCTTATTTGAAAAAAGGCTTTGAATTATGGAATATTAGAACATAATTATATAAGGGGAGTGTTTTTCCGAATGATTTGCATATTTATTTATGCGCATCTTTAGATGGCAAAAATTTGTCTGTCTGAAAGTGGGCCGAAACATTTAGTTCCGTTGGAAACAGATTGTTTAGATTTCAGACATATTTTAAAATATTAAAATCAGTAATGAACGGAAGTAAGTTCGAGGCATGAAATAAATGATATCTTAATTCGTTCAGAGGGTTCTTAATCGGATAGTTATGATAAACACCATTTCACACTCGATTTTGTCAGACATTCACAAATTGTCTCAGAAAGATAGTATTTATGTTGAGGGTATTAAAAATTAGCCCCAAAGGCTTAAACATTTGGGGCACGATAACATTAATACCGTCCTAGTTCCATCTTTAATATACCGATGGTAAGTCTATCTGTCCATAATAACATATAATAAATGTTCAACATCGGCCCCCTTCTTCCATTTAATTTGAAGCAAATTGAATAACCACTTTGATCAACACTAAATCCTAAACCTCTCTAATTAAAACATATAACTTATAAAAAGCGAATAATAAATTCTGTGTGTAATTCCGTAGACATCGCAAACCATAGTCGACACCGACTGACAATTTTTTACTTGTTATTAGATCAAATGAGTCATGATTTTCGTCTGTAATATTATGAAGGAAGCTTAGTACTATGAAAGTTAGTGCAGGGTATAACATAATCGGCCTTTTCAATCCATACTAAAATCGCTAATATATAATTTTTTTCCAGAAAATTTTGTCAGAATCCTAACACGAATTTGGATATAATTTCTGGTGAGTAGCTTTTGTTACAGTTTTGTATTATTTGCTTACATAAGTACATACGAGGCGGTTCGGGTGCTACTTAGCCTATTAATGAAAGAGAAAAGTTAGTTTTTCAAAAATATTTTTATTTTTAAATATAATCTCCTGAAACTTCAATACACTTAGTTCAACGATTTTCTAGCAATTTTATCCCTTGATTAAAATGAGTTTCCTCAAGGTTTCAAAAAAGTGGTTTACAACTGTAATTGCTTCTTCATTTACAACGGTAATTGCATTTTCATTTTTTTAGATTTGGGAACAAGTAAAAGTCACTGGGAGCTAAATCAGGAGTATAAGGTGGGTGGCCAATCAACTCGTACTTTAATTTGTTGATTTTAGCCATTGTTAAAACACTCTTGTGAGCTGGTGCATTGTGTTGATGTAAGCAAGTACGTTTTTCTCGAATTTGTACATTTAATTGTTCCAAAAGGTTGCAATAGTACTCTGAATTTATTGTTTTACCCTTTTGCAGATAGCCAATCAGCTTCTGTCCATTGTTTGGATTGTTCTTTTGTCTCTGGAGTATATTGCCACCCTTTCTCATCAAAAGTTATGAAACGACGCTTAAAATCTATTTTATTTCGCTTAAAAGGATCCCAACAAGCTTGAAAATGTTCATTCTAATGCGTTTTTGATCGACAGTTTACAAATGCGGCACCCATCTTGCAGAACGCTTTTTCATCTGTAGTTCTTCATGCAAAATAAATTGGACTCGATCATTTGAGATGTCCATTATATTTCCATTTTCAAAATAACAATTAATAGCAGCATATAAAGATATAAAAGGTTTTCTTCATATTAGATTTAAATCGACCTATGACGAATTTGTTCATTTGGATTCTTAATATAGTCGCCGAGGCTTCCCTTTTGGATCTGATGGAACCCGATAAGGAATTTTTCGATATGGTCACAGTGTAATTTGTGGCAGAACATAATGTATATTCTTTTGATATAAAAGACTGTACCTACCTCTATTTATATAGAAGATATAATTGGTAATTCCCTCTGTTCATAAATCGCGCAGATACTGATTTATATTGATCAATTCAAGTTTTACGAAAATAGAAATTTTCATGGGAAATTTCTAGTCCCTCTACACCAAGTCCGAAATATTTTATGTAGTTAAGGGGTATCAGTGAAATTTCCTGAAGGAAATGAAGTAGGTTCCCTTCCTTCCCCGCTTTGTCAATTAGATTTACACCAAAATACCGATTATGAGAGAATTTGTAATAACTAAATCTCAAATGTCCTTTCTGAAAATACACTTACAGATTCGATCACGTATTTTTGTACTGGAGTCCATTTGGATTTTGTCCAAATTCTTTTCATTTGGATTGATTTTGTTATTCTGAAAATTATTATCGCTACACGTCTGGTAGCACTGTCAGGACATTATTCATTTTATTCTGTTGAGAAATAGTTGTTTTATTTGGTGGACGAACCAGTTGTTTGCTACGAATGCTCAACGACGTAATAAATCTTTATCCTGCATTATTTTGTATGTATTTTTAGAACTATGGATAATGTGAGATACGTGAAAAACTATAAAAGCTATTGTAGATATTATAACTATAGAGGCTTGTAGTTATGTTATATGTGTGGAAAACATATATAATATTTTTCTGATTGCAAAAGACCTCCAAATATTAGGTTGGGAAAAAGAAATCCATTATTTTTATATGAACTATAGGACTTTATTCAACATACTTCGGAATGTTCGATTTGTTGCAATTTTAAATGTAACTTTATAATGCCTCTCTCATAGAAGTCCTGCTCTCTATTTACAAAAAAAATCATCTAATAGTCGATTATCACAATACTCCCTAGATACCAATTTTTTATCATTAAAAAAATTGCAATGCAAGAAAACGATGATAATCGCTTGGTGCCAATTCCAGACTGTATGGCCGTCCATATGAAAGCAACTCATAATAAATAATCCCCTTTCTAGTCGCACCAAAAGCATAGCAGAACCTTCCTGGCCGTTAGTCCTGGATTGGCCACCGTTTGAGGTGTTTCACCGCTCTTTGACCACGATAATTTTCGCAACAGGGTTATCGTATGTGATCCATTTCTCATCTCCAATCACCATCCGTTTAATAAATGGATCTATCTCATTCCGTTTGACCAAGGCTTCGCTTATGAAAATTCGATTTTTTCTGTTAATTTGTGTGGCACCCATCGAGATTCTTTTTGAATCCAGCTTTCTGTAAATGGTTTAAAACAGTTTTATGGTCGATTTTTAGCTCCTGGGCGATGTTACGACGTCTAACATGTTGTCTGTTTACTTCAACGTCCAGTAAAAGGGAGCGAAAAGAGAGAATTGGTTTCACAGTCATACGCTGAGAACTTACTGAATGTTACTGGGCAAATTTCTTCTAGTAAGTTTTATCCAGCACAATTCGATGTATTTCAAACAGCATTTAATTTGAAATTTTGACCAAAATTTTGAATTTTATACCTTAATAATTTAAAAAAGTAAATGCATTTTAAGTGAAATTACGCAAAATCTTACTGGACGTTATCTGCTTACTTTTCTCAGTATTTTTGCAAAATAGAATAAAATTGGCTTACTTTCTGAAATAGAACTTTGAGATTAAATGTTACTGGAAAAGTAACCAGACACAACTAATAGATTTGAAGATTATAAAATCTTAAAAAATAGGGCCAATGAAGAATGGATCTTTGAACTTAGTATATTACTGTCTAAATACTAAGTTCAAAGATCCATTCTTCATTGGCCCTATTTTTTAAGATGTAAAATACAGTCGTATCCAGAGAGCATATAGGCAGTTTCAGAACATCAGACCATTTCTTAAAAAATGTTTCTTTACGTAAATTTTTCATTTTTGATAAAAAAAAAAACTTACATACCTCTGATATAGGGTGACGTTTTATGTTTTATCGTCAATGCATGCATATAATTACGTATATACCCAATATGTATGTACTAGAGTCTTACATATACATAAGTAATTGTCCTATACCCTATACCGTATTTTTTATTATTTATTATAAATCATGTAAAAAAGAGACACAATCTCCGTTACGGCTTTGTAAGATTTTGTTGTGTCGTCCCCCTAGTAATTATTGTTGTAGCGCAATAAAACAAAAAATGATTCTTTCTCTTTCTTTAATGAATTAGTTTCACTATGACGATTGCGACGGTCTAAGAATATCTTTTGTATTTTTGGGCCAGGTGTGCATTTGGATTTACCGTGCGGATCACTACATGTTCCCAGCGAATGCCAGCACGTTCCATTTAAACATAAGTTTGCGCGCCCAATGTCTGAAGGCATTCGACCGTGTGTGTTTCTTCGTACGTTTGTGTTTGTGTGTCCTGTCGAAATGTACAAGTATGGGTATGTCTTAAAGTAATTGACTGTGTGTCTTGTATATTCCTGTAGCGACGACTTACTACCTTGGTCGGTTCTACTGTGTATTTCCACCACCGACCAACAAACCATGATGATTAAGTACAACTACTACCACTACTACAGCTGCACTATGTTGCTCGTCGCCGTGGTATTTCCCATTAGTCCTGCCAGGTTTAGGGGTGACTTTGAGCATGGCATGTGGCGTAGCAAAGTTGTGAGTTACCTCTGGCGAAATGAGACATTTGATCAGTTAGGTTTTGTCCGTCAAACGTTGAGGAACTTTTCCGTGTAAAGAAGAAAGTATCCTTTAAAGTAGATATCGTAGAATCGTTGTAGTTTGTTACGCCAATAAAAAGTTTGTTAAATTTCAAAAAAAAAACGTTAATTGTTTTGTTTGTTTATTAAAAATTGTTATTAAATATATATATTACCGAACTATCCAAAGAAGTGTTAAAAACGTTATAAACCAGCGTATTATTAAAAAGAGAAAACAAATCAAAGGAAAAGCTCAAAACAAACCTAACAAAAACCAAAAAAAGAAGAGAATCTACCAAATTTATATTCGAATTCGAAAAAATTGAAAATCAACTTTTAAAAATGTCTTTCTCCAAAGCTAAACTAAAGCGTTTCAATGATGTTGATACCGTTGCTTGCGGATCACCAGCTCGCCATGCCACCAATGCCGAAAGTTGTGGCACTCCCACAGCAGCAGCTGCTGCCAGTACCACCACCACTACTGCTGCCCATCCAGAACGTAAGGAGCAAATCGAGAAATTCTTCAAGGATGCCGTACGTTTCGCTTCCAATTCCAAGGATGCCAAGGAATTTGCCATTCCAAAGGAAGGTGGCCTCAAGGAGGATAAGAAATCGAAAGGTCTACGACTGTTTCGCACTCCATCGTTGCCACACCGTTTACGTTTCCGTCAAAATTCCGATGTAACAGCAGCTGCCGTCAGTCACATTAATGGTGGTGGTTCGTCAACTGCCAGTTCAACACCACTGCCATCGGCAGCTACCACCCCCGTTAAGGAGATGCCCAAGTCGGGTAGCCGCTTGAAGGGCAAGGAAGCTTTGCACCAAGAGATCCGCCACAAAAACGAACTCATTGAGAATTACATGAGCCAAATTGATGTACTGAAGCGTCATGTTGACCAACTGAAAGACACTGAAGCGAAAATGCGCGAAGAACATGCAGCGGCCCAACTAAAAACTGAGAACATGATCCATGATATGACCAATGAGAACAAGTCTCTCAAGGAACTGAACGATCAGTTGACACTCGATAACGCCAAACAACTTGAAACCATCGCCAAACTGGAATCTGAGATTCGTGAACTCAATGAACAGCATGCTACCCAAGTGGCTGAATTGGCCAAACTTAGCGATGGCCTAAAGGAAAAGAACGATCTGCTAGAAGCCGAGGCCAAAAAGCAGCTGGAGTCTCAATCCACAATGCAAGCCCAGATTTCCAAATTGGAACAAGAAATCCAAGAAGCCCAAACTCGTTTGGCGGCCGACGCCGAAAAGGCCAAGGAGAACTTTGAACTAATCGAGAACCTAAAGAACATCAATGGTTCACTAATGTCGGATGTCACCAAACTCAAGAAACAAATCGAGCAGGACGCTCTCTCCTATGCTCAAGAGAATAAAGTCATCCAAAACGAAATGGAATGCTTGAAAAACGAACGCAATACCCTAAAGAACGACTTGGCCAGCAAATGTGACCTCATCAAATCTCTGCAAGATGAATTACTCGACAAGAATTGTGAGATTGATGCCCATTGTGACACTATTCGCCAATTGTGTCGCGAGAAGGCCCAATATGTTGAGAAGGAACGTCTCATGAATACGGCCGAGGAGAAAGTCCGCAATGCCGAAGCCCAGGCCGAGCAAAAGGTCCAAAAACTAGAATCAGACCTGGAGAATGCTCTCGAACGAGAGAAGGCCTACTGGCGCAGTGAATTGGAGAAACGTCAAAAGCTGGCTGAGAACGAAATAATCAAAATCGAATTAGAAAAACAAGATGTTATGGTCCTATTGGAGAGCACCAATGATATGTTGCGCGAACGCGACGAAAAGATCCAAAAATACGAGGACCAACTGCGCAACGGCATCGATTACTATGTCCAATTGACCGACAACCTGCAAAAACAGGTGGTCGATCTAAAGAACGATGTTGCCAAGACCATAACCGAGAAGTACAACTATCAACTGACACTGAATAATACACGTTCGACGGTGAATATTCTTATGGAACGCCTCAAGAAGTCCGATGCTGATGTTGAACAACTAAAGGCTGAACTTGAATCGCTTCAATTGGCCAAGGGTGCTCTGGAACAGAGCTATCTGTCGTTGCAAGCTGAGCTGGAGTCATTAAAGGCCCAGTTGCAAGAATCGGAGTCGGCTCTTGCTGCTCTGAGGGCCTCATCGGAAACGCTACAAAAAGAGGTATCCCTTAAAGAATCCATGTTCAATGAAATACTAACTTCCGAAGAAGAAACCTTGGCTAAATTCACTAAAATTGCTTCTTCATTCCAGGAGCGCATCGACGGCGATGCTGCCAAATACCTGGACATGTACAATGAGCTCAAGAACAAGGACGAGACACGTGAAGTTTACATGCAGGATATGAAAAAGGCTCTCGACGAATTTGCCACAGTATTGCAATTCGCTCAGCTAGAGTTGGACAACAAAGACACCACCCTGGTCAAGGTACGTGAAGAATGTGAACAATTGAAATTGGAAAATATTACGTTGAAATCGAAAATGGAGGAGAATTCCTCAAAGGTGGCAACGCCCGTCAAAAAGAACAGTACCGACTTAGAGAAGATCGAAGTTTTGCTGAACGATTCCGAATTGCGAGCCGAGTGTGACAAAATTGCATCCTGGTTCCTCAATTCGAATGACAAGAATGTGCGCAACGACAGCTCGAGTGAAATCAGCGAACTGTTGAAACCAACGACGCCCAACAATAAGGCATCACGAACCACCTGCACAACACCTGTTCGCTCGTCGGGAGGCAAGGTAGCCACCGTCAATACGCCACGTACACCGCGCACACCAAAAACCGCCTCATCCCACACGCCACGCACCACACCCAAAAAGACTGTCCTGTTCCCCGGCAAAGAAAACATCCCCAGTCCCCAGAAACAGGTGCTCAAGGCGAGAAATGTGTAAAGGCTGGAAGTGCGGTAGCGGTAGCCACTCTGTTTTCTGTGTATTTATATTCAAGTTTTTAGACTAAATCCTAGATTAAGTTCTTTTATTAGAAACTAAACTCGCCTAACCACCTTTAGAAAATAAATAAATATATATATGTTAATTGAAGCACCAACGAAATCCCTACTTCGTAAGCATTCCCAAGCAAAAATGTTTTTTTTTGTATTTTATGTTCTATAAGCATTCCATTGTGAGTGAGATTTGAAAACAAATACATAAATAATAAATATATGTTTAAAAATAAATAATAGTGTCGTTTATGGGTGGTGAATTCTAGCAAGGGTGTTAGGATGTTGAGCTAAAAAATTCCCACGATCATTCAAAACAATTAATCAAAAAGACACTTTAGACTTTAATTTCTTGTCGGTATGAGATTTCAAATGTTTTTTTTTTTATTATTTTCAAAGTACAATAGGAAAAAAAGAAAAGGGAAGAATAGGATTTCCGGTTTTGTGTATCATCAAAGAAAAAAACAAAATGATTGATGCATTGCAACATCTTAAAGCGGCCATACCACCAACTACAATTACACAGGGATTCCGATGTTCTCTTTCCTCCGTAATTGTTGTTTAAAATATGTGAAATGCTTGAGGTGACGCAAAGTTAAGGGTGAATTGTAAGAACAAATGTGACTTCTTCCACATACCTTTGTGCGATGTCGCAAGATCATCAGACCGTGAGAAGAAACCATTCGTGCATAGGAATTTTCATTTGTGCAGATGTTCAAATTGCCACTGCCGTCTATTTGTGTTTTAGGGGGATGTTTGTGTGTTGAAAGGTAGAGGAAGACGAATTAGTACGACGAAGAAGAGATGAAAGAAGGCACTGTTCTTATATTTCGCTTCAAAGAGAAATTCAGAATTTAAACTAAATAACCGACATTGATGTACGTATTTTAATACCCCTCTATGTGGATCTTACCATACCTAAGAAATTGAGTACAGTCGAAATCACTTATAGCGACCAATTAGGTTAGGTAAGGTTTGGGAATGTGCAAACTGCAACACTCGGAGCCGACCTGTCCATTGTGATCATTCAAGAAGAGAGATGGAGAGATCTGTAGGGAAAATGGGGATAGAAGCTAAAAAAGTAGTAAAAATGAAGTTGGTAATATATAGTGTCGATGGTTGTATAAATTTGTTCACGATGTATTACGTGCTCAGATTGCACTGTCCCAACCACTTCAGGTTTCTGATGATGTAGATTAAAGCCGGTTTCATAATTGAATAGAAGCTTAGATACGGTGGAAAGTAAACACCCACTAATCTAAGCCGTTTGCAGACCACAACTGGACAGAGACACAGGAGATGCTCAATTGTCTCCGTCTCCTTCTCGTCAGCACAGAGTCTGCAGTAGTCAGTAACATCATCGTCCCACTTACTTGTAAAGGCCCTGATATTACAATGACCAGTAATAACTCCTGCCATTACTCTAATTTCAGCTTTGCTCAGGTTCAACTGTGATTTTTTTGTTTTGACGGACAGGGTCGGCCAAATTGAGTTGGCGTGATGTCACGAATTTTTTAAAATGCATCTGCATAATTACATTCAAAATGTTTTATAAGTGTTAACATAATTTATGTTTAATAACTTGTTAAAAAAGTGGATATATTTGAGTAGTCATGATGTAATGCAGATTTAAACATGTTTAAAATATTTATTATATTATATTTATAAGAATTTTTTTTTAGAGTAGCTATGATGTAAGGTGGATTCTTTGTAATTATTTACAAATTGGCCATTAAATTGTAATTTGGTTTCAATTACAAAGTCAATAAAGACAAATTAAATTGTCTCAGACTTCATGTTACAGGAGTTGATGGGTTCAACGATCTCTGTTTTAAAAATTGCTCTACACTCGAGAACGATCTCAGACTACATTTTACAGGATTTGATGGTTTTAAGAGCCGCCTGACTATCCACAAAGATAGTCATCGTTTCAACGATCTATGTATCCAGACTTTTAATCAATTCAGTTCCCTTCATGCTGTACCTTCATCCATCTTGGGTCCGTCTGAATAAATAGCCAGAGGGTTACTACGATTCCTATTCATCGCAACTGGGGATAACGACATCTACATCGTCGAAACGCAGGACTGTTGATATATATTCGCTTAGTTTTCCACATTGGTACAGGATTCATGCCCATGAGCACAATTTCGCCAAAGATTATGTTCATGCAGCCTTAGGGAGGGCACTACGTGCTGCCTGACATTTAATGCTGAGACCCAGAGGCCTTAAGTTCAGCATTGTGTTCAGAGCTGCTTGGGGAGTGCTCCTCGCGAATCCTGTTATAAGAATCGTGGCTGCTCTTTGTACCTTGTCTAGTTTGCTGGACGTCGACTTATAGCGTAGACAGTGCCACCAAACAAGAGATCCATATGATAGGATGGACCTTACCACGGTATTATACATCCAATGTATAGTCGATGGTTTTAGATCCCAACTTTTCACAATGGAATTCTTGCAATCTGACCTCTCCTCAGCATTCCTGTCCCATTGTAATCGACAGTCCAAGATCGTGCCAATTTATTTAGTTTAGGGCTTTAATATAGGCAAAGAGAGACTTATAGCGTAGACAACCAAACAAGAGATATGAGTATACATCCAATGTATAGTCGATGGTTTTAGATCCCAACTTTTCACAATGGACAAATATGCTGAGTGCCAATTTATTTAGTTTAGGGCGAGAACAAATATGCTGAGCTTACGTTTCCTAGTGAACATTACCAGTTCTGTCTTTGTTAGATTAACTTGACGGCCTTGTGACAGCGCCGATAAGGCTATTTGCATAAACTCCGAAACAGTTGACGGAAATTTACCGGAAATCAAAAGCACTATGTCGTCCGCATAGGCAACCTAGCACCTCATGCAGGCAGATTTCACAGATTTGGCTTTAATATAGGCGTGCTGCGAATTGCTTAGAGAGGTGGAGTCTACATAACTCATAATCTCCAGGTCGATCAGTCTTTCGAGAGTCTTGAGGAGAAAGGATGATAGACTAATGGGTCTATACTCCTATGGTGACGAGTGACTTGGTTTTCCGGCTATGGGAATGTAAGTAACCTTTACCTCGTTCCTTAGACCCGGCACACACGAGAGAGTCTGACACGCCGTATAGATCTTATCTAGGATCCGATATATACGTGGTGAGGCAAATTGAAGCATCGTCGGTATTATACCATCTGATCCAGATGATTTGAAAGTGTTGACTGCACAGCGTATATTATTTCTTCTAACCACCTAGCCAATGAGATCCAAATCAACAGCCGCAAGAGGCCAAATGTCATCACATTCAATGATCGTCGTTATAAACGATTTTGACTGTATGTATATAGTAATTTTTTAAATCGTGAAATATCCAAATGGTATGGCAAATATCTTAATTCATATAGAAAAATCTGGAAGATTTCAAATTAGAATTCTCTTTTTAAACTCCGAGAAATCTTGGGAAAATCAGATTGAAAACGTGCAGAAGGCTTCGAGAACAAGAAAACGTAGAAAACTATTAAAACCAATCTTATTCGCTGAACAGAAACACTGCGGCATAGGATGCAAACTCATACATACTGCTTCAATCTTATTGAATTTTGTAAATGATCTTAATCTTAAATATAATACTAAACATAGTTTATCATTTCATCATTTCCATTTTCTTTGTTACCATGAAATGCAATTTAAAATTATCATTAATTTCAAACAAATATATTGGTATACTCGAACACGATTGTGTCTTTTATTTTTCTCTTGTTAAATATATGTATGTAATTTTTTATATAATTGTAATATATTGCAAAAAAACATCGCCTCATATTTATCTATTTTCTATAGTAGTATATAAGTAATTATAAAAAACAACAAAAAGTACAAAAACAATTTGAGCACTTTGGTTTGTTTGAATACAAAGAAGGGATAGAATGAAAAAGAGGAAAAACAAAATTAAACTATAAATAAATGTAACGTGGACCAATGAATTTATATATTGATAGAAGATATGCTACATGTCTTTTATATTTCGTATTGAATATTATAGACAAATACGGTTAATTTAGTTTTAATTTCTATTATTTATCGTTGTATTTTTTTAGATATTTTAAAGATAAATGAAATAAACTTGTTAATGTTTTTTGTCAACATTTGTTTGTTTTATTTTTTATAAAAGCCAATGATTATGTTAGAAACTTCAGAAGTTTTAAGTTTATTATAATAAAAAAAGTGGGAGACGAAACTATATACAAACACGATTAATATTGACAATTACAAAAAATACATAACGCATAGTAATATATTCAAAGTGTAATTTGTTTTTTTTTCTTCTTTGGAAAGGTTTTTTTGTTGAATGAAAAACAATAACAGGCACTACATATTTATTTTGTTTGGTTTCAGTTAAGCCAAAAAAGTTTAAAGTCAAATATATGCATATGTAATATTAAATGGAGATATAAGCATTATATATTTATATATATATATAGGTATACATGTCTATTGAAATATTAATCTTTTTTTGTTTTTGTGATACATTTTAAAAACTATACACAGCAAAATAAAGTACAGAAATAATTGCCCTCTCTTCTATAAACATTTGTTTAGATTATGTATGGAGTGTAATGCGTATATATATAGAATCTATTAGCTTTTGTTTGCTACTGGTGTCACTGCCCATGCCACATTTAATAACTTATCTTGCAGTAGAATTTCTTGTTATCTATGTAGAACGAACATTGTCTAGATGGGTAGTATATTGGGGTTACGGGAACATTAGAATGAATTAGCTCGCTTTTTCTAAACTATTACGTTTTTTATTTTAATTTTTAATGCAGTCTTTCAAAAAAGTTAATTTCAAGAGAATCTGCAATATGCAATCAAATGTAGTAATCGTTGTGGTCTTTGTCAGCTTTCCGACTATTATTTAATTGGCCTCAGTTGCTGGTGGTTTGTTGTGTCCATTTTCAATTATTTTATTATTTGTTACTAATTTATCTATTGATGGTGATTGATCCGGTTGAGATTGTAGTTGTAGATGCTTTTTACATTCATCTAGCCGTTGTTTATATGTGTATAATGACTGCAAGGGTACGTGTAATAGCTCGATGATCTGCGTAAACCAAAATTCTAAAATAATAATAAAAGTAAAAGGATTATTATTTATGAAATAAAATTGCCTCTTTGGAATTAAAATAACAAGGGGAATTTTGTTGCAAATTAAAATGTTGATCTTTATCTGGTAAAATAAATTATTTTTTTTTTTAATTCTAAAGAGGTTTTATTTGTAGTTTTTCTCTAAAATCATTGATAAAGAATAACATTTTAATTTCACATTATTTTTACTCACCATTTTCTGGCGTTATAATACCGTGCCGTATAAGGAAATCTATTACCACTGGACAGCTAGTTGTTTTAAATTCGGGGGTAAAGACTCTTTCGATGCACTCCTTGGCGGGTAACAGCTCAAAAGCTTGCACTTCGCCGTCAGCATTGTGTGGTACAAAATCTAATGGCAGCTCTAAATCGAATACATACTCGGTGTTGGGAAACAGACCCTGTTCGCTTTCGAAGAAAAACGAAACACAACCAGCCGATACGAGATTTTTGACAAGATCGCTTGGTATAGAGGCTTCTTCGGCCGCCTCCTTAATGGCGGTTTCTTTTATGCCATAGCCAACCGAGAGACCGCCACCCACCATATTATCCCATTTACCCGGCCAGGTTTCTTTGGTATTGGAGCGCTGTTGCAACCAAATGCAAAGACCTTGAGTAGGATGTTTGACATAGCCATTAATATCGACACCATATTTTCGTACACCGAATAAGGGTGTAGCTGAGCGATCCATTTTTAAAAGGCTATTGTGCTCGGCCTTAACTTCATAATACTGTAAAAAGGGGATAATTATTAGAATTTAAGTGGTAAGAAATATAATAAAAGGCAAGAGTGGACACGCTGCCCATAATATCATTGACTAATATTTTATAAGGACAATGGAATACTCTTACAGAGTACATTTACAGATAAAATTTAAGCAAACATTTGGCAAATATTTTGATATGAGTAAATAACAACTATTCAGCATTCCTTTTCTGTATCCTCCTTAGTTTATGATATTTTTTTATATTTACATTACCTCTTCTCTCCATCCTTGTAATGCGGAAAATATGCCCTTTGACCGAAGTTCTCTTAAGACTTTATCTAGTTTTTCGGTGCGTTCAGAATAGTCACGAAATGCGGGATTTAATTCCACAATACCCTATAACAAAAATATATATATAAAAAATATATATATTAAATATTCATGGATTACTTGAGTTATACAGCGGCAACTAACCTGTTTTGTGTATTCACAATCTCGTATGCAAAACACCTCTGGGTATTTGTTTAATTGTTTAATCACATCGGATTTAATTAGACCAACTTGTTGACCTTCGACTAGAAAAGGACGTATATCTCCTTTTTGGAATCCTATAACAAAAAAGAAATAAATATGAATTTCTATTATGTGGTAGAAGAAAACAAATCAATAGTCGCGTGTGGCAACGAATAGTTTTCGATCTTTTAGCATAGTATATTTATTTTTATTTTTTTATTCTTACTTATTTGCCTTTTGTTTATATTACTTATTTTACGCCTGATATTGCATCACAATCAAATGAGAATGTGTTATTGACGAAGCACAACAAAAACAAACAATTAAAAAATCTTAGCTTTTGTTTTCGTTGGCAAAAAAAAAAAACTCTCGCAAACAATAAACGTCACATATACAAATAGTTATATGTATATGTGATGCTTATATAAATTAGGATGGCTCTTTAATAATTTATAAAAAAATACTGTTGTATCCGGATTTTTATTATGATGTGGTATCACAATTTTAGAACATGTTAGAATGTATTCTCTGTTTTATGAAAAAAAAAAAAATTTTCGTAGGAGGGGGGCTCGCCGATAATTTTAAATATGTATTTCTGTTTTGCACAGATAACAATTTTTAGAAGCTTATATTCTTCATAAATTCAATTCAATAATTTTGCTTGAAGGTATTTATCACCTGTCGATTGATTGTTCGTTATAAAGCGGACTATATTATTTGTTGATTTCGATATTTATGAAACAAAAATAAATTTTTATTGTTTTTTTTTTAACGAAATTTGTTTTTAATCTGATTAAAATCCCAGTAATAAAAAATAATATATATATATATAAACATGTGGGATGAGGCCAACCATGTGAAACCTTCAACAACTACCATTGAAGTTTAGCATTCTGCGGGTCTAATTGTACAACCACATTATAAATATATTGCTAAACAATATCAGTATATGTAGACGAAGGTAAATATTTTGATTTAATTCTCATACAACTATATAACCAATATCAGGTCATCCACTCCTCTTGGATAAACTGTGCATTTTCCTGAAATATGTCTTCCATATGCAACGGGTCCCACCTTTGGACTTGATGGTAAAGATAATAGTTTGTTCAAAATTTGGTTCAAATCGGACCTTTCATTAGGCTGGATTTATAAATATTGAAAATTTTGACTCCTCCTGGGGTAGGGGACCCATGGGTCCCATCTTCGGACTTGATATAGGCATATTACAGATAATAGGTTGTGCATAGTTTGGTTCAAATCGGACATTCCATTCGCTTGATATTGGATTTATAAATATTGAAAATTTTGACCCCTTCTGGGGGAGGTACCAGAAGGGGTGGACCAATGGGTCCCATCTTCGAACTTCATCTAGGCTTGATAAAGATAATAAGTTTTACAATGTTTGGTTCAAATCGGATAGTCCGTTCGTTGATACCATAACATTAATATTTTGCACAATTTTGCCCATTTTGTGTGGGAGGTTCCAGAACTTCGAACTTGAACTTCATTTGAAAGAAATATTACGATGTGCAAAGTTTTGATGAAATCGGTTACTCCGTTTGAGAGTTATCGTGCACACAAGCCGGCAAGATAGATGGACATTTGTAAATTGGCTCCAAATTTTCTGAAACGGATTTGGTCCAAAGAATCATGGGTTCTAAAATTAATATTTCGATTCTTGGACCAATATTTCGTGGTGTTTCAGAACTTTTCTAACAAATGATTTATGACTACTTCGGGTGAGAATCTTCTTCCTTGACAAAACTAATCGAAGTCCATCCAAACGACTATATACAACCATAATTCATTGTTTCCTGAAAAAGTCGTCCAGTGTGGTATAAGACAAATGTCTAGCATATGTCTCGGTCCATAAGAAGGAAATTCAGTGTGTAGGAACCAACAAAATCGCAGCTTGATTACCTTCATGCCTTAAAATATTGGCAAGATTGGCTGTAACACATTTTCTTTCATTTGATATTTTTTTGGTATGGTTGTAAATAAAAACAAATATGAATGTCTCTTCCTTCTCCCACTTGGCATACAATGAACTTGTATATATGTATGTACGTTGTTACGTATATGAATGTTTATGATAAATATAAACACAAAAAATGTATTTGCCAAATGTGTCTTGTGTGTTTTACATGATTAAAATCGAACCTAAAAACAAATAAATAAAAATAATCAAATGCAACAACAAATAGCATCAATTTGTTGGCTATGTAGGAATGTAGTTTGACAACGACTTGTTGTGTGCCGTACAAAAATCTACAAAATTTAAATAATAACGCCAATACAACGAGTCTACTTAGCCGCTATATGCATACATAAAAGCAAACCGATAAAACTGACCGACGACCACATGTACACTTTATAGATCAACAACAAATCCACAACACATTTATATGTATGCAGCTAATATGTATATTATCGTTCGTTTGTTTGTTTTTGCCTGTATATAATTTGAACATTATATAGCCGTACAACATTCTGAAGGTCATTGAAGAATGTCTGCCTGCCAGCCCGCCAGCCGTCTTTCTGGTTTATATTGTTTTGATTCTTTATATTTGCTCTCATATTTGGTCTATGGTAGAGTGAAGTTAAATATGATGATCATGGTGATGATGATTAAGACATTTTTATTTAGTCCATTTATTGCATGAATACAGGTGTACATGAGATTATTTGTGTTCTTTTTTGGTTCTGGTAGCTTGATGCATTTTTAACCTTGCTGCTGGCGCTCAAATTCTATTAAAATAATTTGTGTTGAATTGTTTCTTGGTGGCTATAATTTGAATTTTATTTTTTATTTACTAATTGTAATTGCTGTTGAATCACATTTACGACATTTATTTACGATCTCTTAACCAATGCTTTCTTCTTGGCGTCATTCATAGTTTTTAGAAAATTTCCAAAGCAAACGGAACTGTTGTTGCTATTTGTATACTGATTCAAACAGACACTATTTTGTACGTCCAAACGATAGAGAGATAAGAATATATATGAGCGTTATTCGAAAAAAAATATATATACGTATCATTGTTTATTAGAAAAATAGGCATTTGTTATTGTTTTGAAAAGGTAGTCAGTTTGTAGATAAACATCTGATTTGCCGGTTTTTCATATATATATATATACTTATCTATTCGAAGAATCAATTTAAATAATTTAATCTATGTTAGAGGTGTTAGACGCATTTTTTGGATACACGTCTAAAAATGAATACGATTCAAACTGGTTTTGTCCTTAGGATTTAAAATTTATATGAGTTCAACAGATGTAAACCAAATACATTTTTAAATTTTTATAACTAGTTATAACTAGAATAATTGTATTAATTTTATTGCCACTAAATTTTCGATAGTTAAAATGAAATCTATAAAAGTTGGAAAAACTTGCCACACGTCGGGTGAATGCTCAGTGGTTTACCAAATAATCAATTATACACTTTGGCTAATTGGTGTATTTCTATTATCTGCTCTGTTATCTTTTCAATAAATGTTATAGCACACAACAAAATTCTAAGAACAATGAAGACATTATGTCTTAGTAATCAACGGAATTTTGGCAAAAACAAAGAGGCACCGATAAAGTATCCAAACGCAATGTTTAGGACTCCTCAAGACATGGAATTTTTTTCAAATAATCTCGATCACACAAAATAAAAATTCTCTGAATTAATCGGAAAATTTGCATACCTTTTAGATATGTATAAAATAAGTACTTCATTTGACTTTGGAATTTAATTCAAGTATGAAGTAACGATTACTGATTAAAAAATTTACATCTAAATGTATGCAAAAACAAAGAGGCACCGATAAAGTATCCAAACGCAATGTTTAGGACTCCTCAAGACATGGAAATTTTTCAAATAATCTCGATCACTCAAAATAAAAATTCTCTGAATTAATCGGAAAATTTGCATACCTTTTAGATATGTATAAAATATTTACTTCATTTGTCTTTGGAATTTAATTCAAGTATGAAGTAACGATTACTGATTAAAAAATTTACATCTGAATGTATGTAGAGCGCGCGTCTAGACATCGTCTGACTAAAGATAGTAGAGTAGAAAATCATTTAAAACGTTTTTGTATGGCTATAAAGTGTACCGAACTATAAATAAATATTGAATAAATTGAAATTGCAATTCATAATCAATTGTTGTGATAAAGAAAGCTGTACTAATGGACATTGACCACCAATAGTAGTAATCACAAACACACACACAGCAACAAATCTGAATCAAACTAAAAACATACTTGGTACAATTCGAAATAAACATTAATTTATCATCCTTTATATACCTTTAACAGAATCGTTGTTTGTTTACAGTTCTGTTAAGGATAATACTGTTATTGACATAAGCTTTTATTAAAGGGCAGACATTTCGCGATTTATATACTGCATCACGATACCTCAAAGAAAATATTTTGTGTATTGCAAATCGCTTTAATTAAGATTCCTTTTATCAATTTTTCATAACTGATATTCCATTTAACTTTTCTCATAACTCCATAAATGAAAACTTTAGAGGTAGGCATTCGAAACCCCTTTGGGCACCACTATATAACAGCCAACAGCACACACCCATTTGCCATATAGACCAAAGAGCTAAAATCAATAAAGTCCTTAAGATTTATGGTATTAAAACTATTGTTATACCGGTCAAGGATAATAATCTCTTATCCTTTGTGTATGCAATTAAACAACACCCACCCCACCCCCTATGGTTCGGATAACACCACTCACTTACCATTCAAATAGAAATTATTAAATTTGTGGGCCAATAAGAGTAGACGTGATAGTTTAACATTTGCATCTACGGCCGACGACATTGTTAACGTTTTGATAAATATGTTTTTTCCTTCGTAACGTAAATCGACGACGTCTATGAAGAAATCTCTTTTGCTGCTGGCTTGTTTTTGTGCGTTTTCTTTCCCGAATGTATACGTTTTGTTGTTGTTTTCTTTTCCCCTGTCTGGCAATTTGATGTTGTTCTTTGTATCTTTTTTTCTAATAGCAATTCTTATCGAATTTTGTCATTTATATATATATTTTATATTTTTTATCTAATATTTAATATTAACTACTTCTTCATTCTCTTCTGAAAATACAACCAACACTACACACAACAGACCCAGTGACATGTAAATCGACTATTGTCGATTGATTTGATGTGAGAAATCGATTTGGAAGAACAACGATTAATCGACTTGTTTTTTTATTGACAAAATATACCAATCATTTCACTTGTGGTTTAGACAAATCATAGAAAAAATATAGTACCATGGTACAATACATGGCTCAATGAATAGGTAGTCCATTTAGCGCAGCTGATGTCTTGATTAACTGTCTTGAATTCAATGCGCAGTGTTGCCCACCATGTGAAATATTATATGTAAAAATTTAACAGATAGTCGAGACAAAAACAAGGTTTTTGTTTTGATACATAACCTTATTATTAGATTTACATATACGATTTTAAATCGACTCGATTAGCGAAATCCAGAAATACACCCTAATTGTTTACATATACCCTTAATTATTTTCTAATACTAATAAATATCAGCTGATTGAAATAGCTGACATTGTTAGTATACATACAAAATTATTAATTTGCGCCAAAAATAATTGGAAATGAAAAGAAAAATTACAACAAGGGAAATGTTTTTGCAATGGTGTGATCATTCGGAAATTAAAAAAAAAAAAAAAATCACCTCAAGCCACCATGAGAAAAATTGTACTCAGATGACAGCTATACCTTGTAATAATAGCTGTGTCTGGTTACTTTTCCTGTAGCATTTCCTCAGTAAGCTTTATTTCAGAGAGTAGGCCGTTTTTATTCTCCTTTTCAATAATACTGAGAATAGTAAGCAGACAACATCCATCAAGATTTTGCAAAATATCACGTAACTTCTGTTAAAATACTTGAAATTTATAATTTAGACTTATAAAGGAATATTATTCGTAAAATAAAAAAATGTTTTATAACGTCGGTCATAATTTAAAATTAACGACTGATTGAAATACATCAATTTGTGATGGATAAATCTTACTAGAGGAAATTTATCCAGTAACATTCATAAGTTCTCAGCGTATAACTGTCATACTAGCTTTCTCTTTTCTCTCTCTTTTACACAGCTAATTATACTATGCGAGATACATACATAGCTTGGAAAATTTATGTAATAGGACATTTCCGTACTGCAAGAATGTACTAATTTTTACTACGATAACAAATTTTTGATTATAAGGACAAAAGTAGTAAAAATTAATAGATTCTTACATAACGGGTACAGATCAATGGTGTTCAAAACAACACACGCACATTTTGATTTTATAGAGCAAGCCACCCTAAGAACAGAACATATTGTTGCATTTGTTTGTATTTGTTCTGACAATATAGTCCACAAGGTAGAGGTGTATTTCTCTTTTTTGACAAAAGTGAAAAAATATTAAGTGAATCCTTCAGGAAATACATTCATAAAGATGAACATCGCAAATGAGTACATAAAAGGACCCAGAATACTCTTATTTTTTATTCAAGCAAGTTTTGCATTAAAAGAAAGAACTACATGTGTGTTTTCAAAACAACATACGATTTTTCTTACATGGTCTGTTCCAAAACTATAAGAACCTGCTATTTTTTTTTATTATTTTTTCGATGTAATTAAAGAAAAAGTGTTAAAAAGTCGTACTAAAAATTTGCACATTCTCATCCTGTAACATAAATATTTGGTCTATTCCCGTACTACAAGAATCTACTACTTTTTACTACGATATCAAATTTTTCTTTCTAATAAGTATTTTGTAACAATTAACGTAACATTTTTATTGTTTGAAGAAGAAGGATATTTCTATCTACCACAAAATAACTTAATGAGTAATTTTTACAGTAAATTTACGCAGTCATGCCTAATATTGAAAATATGACAAACCTGAACTATGGCCATATAACTTAATATAATTTTCATTGATGGCAATTGATTTTTTTATTTGCATTGGCAACACTGCAAAACATATGTGATAATAGAAGCAGAGAAAAAAATTTGCTAGAAGACATTTCACGTGTAGGGTTCAATTAGATTTCTGTAGAAAAAAAAACTAAAAATATATTATAAAACAGACTTGCCACAAATTTTGGTCTAAAAACATTTGATTTTACGCCTGCCTTTTTAAAATGAGTGATGATTATTTGAGTAAACCCTTGTCATTGGCACCAACCACGGGAAGTAAGTATTCTTGCTATGAAGAAAGAGTTCGCATAGCTATCTGCGCCGTTTCATGTTACATCATGCAATTGATTGTTTGGTGGATTATCGAATTGATGAATCAAATATTTATACATTCTGAAATGTTTTTGAAGGTGACGAGCCCAAAACATCATCGCGTTTCTCAAATGTTACTTCGGCGTCGACTACGTTCGGTGCACCAATTTCACCATATCTAAACTATGACCCGCGATTTTTGCAACAAGCCCAGCCGGAATTCATCTTTCCTGAGGGTGCTACCAAACAAAGAGGTCGCTTCGAATTGGCCTTTTCACAAATTGGCAGTTCTGTCATGGTTGGAGCTGGCATTGGCGGAGTGGCTGGTTTCTACAATGGTCTGAGAACAACAAAGGCTTTGCAACAGACTGGAAAACTGTGGCGGACACAGTAAGTTATAATATCCTGTGCTTAGTGACTATGATTTTGTGATTTGTGTGACTGTATGTGGTTTTCATTAGGATGCTCAATCATGTTATGAAACAAGGCTCAGGCACAGCCAACACATTGGGCACATTAGCTGTAATGTATTCAGGTTTTGGTGTACTGTTACAAGCTGTACGCGGTGAAGATGACGATATCAATACAGTGGTGGCTGGTACCGCCACAGGTTTACTATACAAATCTACAGGTGGGATATTTTGATTTCTACCCAGTAAAGGTGAAACTTTTTAACGAATTTTCTTTTTAGCCGGTTTAAGGAAGTGCGCCATTGGCGGTGCCGTAGGCCTGGGAATCTCTGGCCTCTATTGTCTAGCTCAGTTGGCTAGAGCGAATGCCGCTTCGAATGGTAATTCCGGCATGAAATTCCTCTAAGCAAATATGCCATAATTAAGCTTTTCTTTTTATACAATATCTGGTCCTTATTTTCTTCTAGGGCTTTGAATAAGTCTTCATTACAAAATAGCAAATAAGCGATTTTCTTTATCTGAGATATGATCTACACATTGCAAATGTTTTGCTTCTCATTAGTAGCAACTGTTTTAGAATAGCCTTAAATTTAAGTTATGTTGAGTTGACTCCAAAGCAAAACCAATGGGAAAATAGACATACGCATAACAAGATCAAAACAGAAAAAGATTTCAGTGTTGTACAATTTGCTACGAAATTTCGAACCACGAAATTCTCATGTATTTTTTTTGTACATTTTATGTTAATATGAGACATTTTTAATATAAGTTACCTCTAACATGTAAACATTTTATTGAAACTTGTAATAAGTTTTTTTTTTGTTAGAAATAATAGATTTCACAAATACAATAATCTAAAAAAAATAATGAACAAATTATGTATGTTTGAATTGGGAAAATTACGGACGTAGCCAATTTATATCAAAAATGGTCTTATTATGAAAAAAAAACTATTGACAAAGAGAAAACAATATGATAACTAGTTTATAAAAATATAAAAAAGATGACTATGTATTAAATTTTATTTATTTATAAAGTTATTGAGATCAAAAGTTGATTGCTTATGTGGTGAAAACCAAATTGATTCGATTTGCCATAAAAAGGAAACACATTTCCATGTAAATATAAAAAATTAAATATTTTTGAAATTCATTGTTGAGTTGAATAGAACACCACATTTAAGATGACGTTCGTTTTATGGCAAACAGAAACGATTTAATTTTCCTTAAATACCAACTCATCTTTTTAATATTCAAAATTGAATAATTTTATATTACAAGACATAAATAACAACTTTTCATCTTCATCGTCATTTTGTAATGCCGCCAGTCGGCGTTCCACATATAATGTAGCCACATTACAAATCGTCTCATGTGCACAAAGGCTGGTGGGCGGCGCTGTTAAATATTTATATGCCAATTTGCGTAGATATTCGTAGGGTGTACGATTCCAATATTGATAAATGTTTCCATTTCTTGCTATCAACGGTTCTTTGAGATAAAAACTTAGCTGTTGTTCGAATGCCAGAAAAATGTGTTCGCTGCTATTGTTACTTGCAATAATTGTGGAACTGTCGTGGGCTTCCCATAGATCGGAAGTATTGTAGAATTTATAATTGTTGGTGGGAGGCAGGGAATTAAACGAAGGATTCATGACGCTTTCCTCATCTTCTATGTTGAGGGATATTCGTAGATTGTGTTTCATTTCCGAGTGACAGGATGCCAATTGATTCTCGGTTAAGTAACGCATTTTAAAACGCGGATCTAATAGTGTGGCAATTATTAAAAATGACGTCTGATGGACAAAGGCGAAATTCACATTTAAATGTTGTTTTAATTTCTGTTTCATAAACGACATTTCCGGTAGATCGCCTGACTTTGGCTCAAACTTGGAATTTAGCATCGTCAACAGAGGTATTACCAAAGATGCACACGCAGCCTCCGAATTAATATCTAACCAGGCTTGATACAGTATTTTCAAAATCGTTAATAGATTTTCTATTTGTTGCCACTCATAGTCGGATGGAATCTTGAGATCACCATACTGCTGTGTATACAATTCCAAGGCTGGCTTTTGTTCGTATATTCTCTGCCACATTAGAAATGTTGATGTCCAACTGTCATGGGTGTCCAGTAAGAGTTTTTGTTGCGCCAAACCACAAATTTCTTGACATTCGTGCAAGTTAACCATCGACTGGATATTACTATCGAAATGATCTGCTATGCTAAAACATTTCCTCTTAAGAATCTCCACACTGTCTCCAAATAAAATATATTCCTTTATGACTTTCTCCAGCAGAAAGGCAGAGCACTGTAATGCGCTAAACCATTCAGCAGATGATTGGTCATCATTTTCGGTCGATGATACATTGACATGGACTTTCTCCACAATATTAAATTTACGGCTCAAATCCAAAAGATTTGATTTGGATGATGTAGTTGTTTGTGGACTCATGTGCAATACCACCATATGTTTTTGGTTGTCGTGTAAAAAGTGTGCGGATATAACTTCAATGCGGCATGTTTTTGTTGCATCTAACCAGTCGGTTGTTGTAAGAGTTACCCACTCGGCTTGTTCCAATGAAGATATTACTTTTTTCTTTACAGCTGCATATGTTTCGGGCATCAAGGTACTCCTGTAATAGTCCTGTGATTTGGGAACGTATTTGGTGGGTCGACTAGGATCTCCTATATTTAAACGTTTAAAAGCTTCTCCTTCTACTGTGCTAAACGGTAACATATCTACCACAAGTAGATCTAATATGGATTTATCTATACGCTTGCTTAGAGCAATGTCACCAGGCCGCGTTATGGGCGTTTTGTTTTCTTCAACCGATAACGAAAAACTCTGATCGGATTTTGCAACAATAATATTGGCTGGATGTTCTTCGATCTCTTCTAAAGGGTCCTGTACAATTATTTCAATGGTATTATGTTGTTCCACATCTTCCGTCTCAGAGTATTTATCCATTTTTGGTTTTCGACCCGGTTTCTTTTTCTCTCTAGGACCCTCTATTGCCTCCTTACGCTCTTTCAGTCTTTTCCGTTTAGCACGTCTTTTCAAATTTACATTTTGAGTTTTGTTCTGTACGTATTCCTGTTCAAGAGCGTGAAAAGCGGAATATTCACTTGGATGTACCTTTTCCAAGTGTTTTTTAATGCTGGACACTGTTTGATTTTTCGGCAATGAACTGCCAAGGCTCAACTCTTTCATACAAACGATACATGTTGCTGTGCCCTCGTTGCGACGAAAATAATTCCATATCGGATTACCAGAGGAAGCCATTTTTTAGTAATATTATTTTTAAATAATTGTATTTGGAATTTCAATTATTTGAACAATACAAAACATTGAACGGCGATTTGGATGTAAACAAATAAAATATAATAGGGATATGTAAATCGATAAATTGTCACAGAATAGGAATGCGTAATTCGTTTTTGTCGATAACATACAATTGGCAACGTTAATAATTTCCAAAAAATTTACTTTTTTCAAATATACCAGTATATAGAACAATTTAAATTTAAGAATTTAATGTATTTAATGAAATATTTTAACAATAATTGATATTTTCCAGAATCTGCATGGTTTGGTTTGTTTAGATTCAATTTAATATGTTTGTATTAAATTTAACATCTTCTTGACAGTTCATTGACCAACAAACGGTTAATGCGACTATCGTATTGAATATGCCTTGCTCAGCTGTTTCTTTTATTACATACTTATCGACTGTGTGAAAATTTGAAATTATTTCCAATATAAGATTAATAGATTTAAAAAGTGAATTTATAAACAACAAATGTTGTAAAAGTAATGAAGTGTGAAACGGATTCCAGACACTGGCTTTTAATCAAAGAACAATCGGTAAGCTAAACAGACCCGTACAAAAAAATGTATGGTTATGTCCTTGCGAAATAAAATATGTTCCATTCGAAGCAATTTCATTTGGTACAAGTTTATTTTCAATTAAAACCACAAAAATTACGCTGTGTACATTTAAATTCAACTAAAATATGCTTAAATATATAACTTTTAATTGGCACAATTATTTAGCACTGATTTTTTTCAAATAAAAACTATATCCCATTTTCGCATTGGCATTATATTATCACAAAACAAAAAACGAATTTAGTAATCCAAACCATCTGAATCCATACCGGTTAGAGCCAATACTTTTACACCTGATTTTACATCCAAAATATTATTGGCAGGAGCTTCACAGCTTGTATCCATGGTCGAGCAAGTATGACAATGGCAAGAAACAGCCTCCAAATATTCATAGCGACGGGCTTCTTCATCAGCCTCCGGATGGCAATTACCTAAAATGACAACAGCCGGTTGACGGGTGGCATGGACACAAACTGGATGGAAGGAACGTTTGTAGGGAAATTTCCAATCAGATATTTCACTAGAATCACAATGACCCCAGCATGCTGATACACTGACATAGTCCCAACATTCCCTTCCCTTGGAATCAGTCTGGGTGACACGATACGTTAGCTGCTTACGATGACAACCCAAATGACCATTTGGTGGAGAACCGCCACTGTTAATTGGCTGGGGCGGTAATACATCCAAAATCTGAGCCAATGTTCCCACCGACCACAGCGTAATGAAGAATATTCTGAAAAGTTGTACAATTATTACAATAATTCAAAGCGAAGGAAATATTAATTCTATTACAGATTTAGACAACGCATTGTATCCGTGGCCGTCCTTACAAACTTCGAAAACAAACTGAAAGTGACTTGTTGCTTTCAGTTAACGTCTATATTTATACCCAAATCGCCGCCAAGCAAGTATTGAGTATTAGGGGGGTTGATTGCATTGATGCGTGTGAGTGTGTGTTTATGTTGCAAAAGGATAATTTCACATGTACACGGATGAATGGATCTCTGACGTTATGTTTGACTTTTTGTACGAGTGTTTATGCATCCTGATTTGAAATTAATATTTAAAATTTTTCTTTTGGTTATAAAAAACTTTTATGTGTTATTTTTCCGTGAAGAAAATAATATGAAGAAATCTAAACTGAATATTCAATGAAATTAAACAATTGCAAAGAGGGGGAGAATTGCGTCACAATATTTCAACATTTCTATTTTTTTCCTTAATATTTTGTTATAGGGAAGTAAAAGATGGAAATAACTTTTGTTTGTAATAACTTTCAATTTTTATTATTTAATTGCAGTATTTTGGGTTGTGTTCTTACAATTTTTATCATTAATTTTTAAATATTGCTTTAACTTTCTTTATTTAATTTTGTTTTTTCTTCTTATTTTTTAGCCTAAAAATAACATTTAAAAAGAAATTGTTATTCAAGGTAAGTTTATGTCTAATTTTTATAATATTCCAAAATGTAAAATAAAAAAATATAACACGTTTTCCTTTCTCCGGGTTAAATGATTTGTACTCGTATAATTTTTATAATTGGAATGAATTGAATTTAAACATCTTCTTTGGATAACTTCTTTACAGTCCAATAATTATACTTGATTATGAGTAAAGATATTCATCTTATTTCTGAAATATTTGTATTGGTACCAAATACTTGTGGCCTTTTCCTTTGATTATTTATGATATTTTCTTGTGGGTTATGTTCTACGTCTTATTTCATGATGGGAACCCAATCTCTGGGTTCTGATTTGATTGCGAAAGCGACGATTGTCCGGTAGTGGCTCAATTACATGTTCCTCCTCGTCGGACAATTCATTTTCATTCTCATTCGGCGATTCATAATCCTCCATAATGGAATCTTGTATTGTTTCCACCGAAGCATTTGAGGATGTCATACGTTCATCTCTGGTCATGGCATTGGCTAGCAAACGTTGTCGTCTCTCCTCCATTAGACGATCACGTTCCTTGTGTATATAATCTCGTATATTCGGTAAACCTGCGACGTTATTGGCCGTTAATGCTGAACGTATTATATTCATATCGGTGGCCTCCATCCATTCATCTGTTTCGGGTACATAACACTCGGTGTGTGATATTGTGGATACACCATTAAATCCCGCTATGGCAAATATCATATCGTCAATAATTTCCAAACCAAAATTACTACGGGAATGATTCATTTCACGTATAAACGTCCAGGTTTGTGTTTCGGGATTATAACGTTCTCCCGTAGCGAGACGTGATGTACCATTAAATCCACCAACAACATATATTTGACCACGAAATGCAACACATGATACACCGGAACGACGTTGATTCATATTTGGTATACGTGTCCAAGTGTTAGTGTTGGGATCGTAATATTCAGCACTGTCCAAACACTCTTGACCATTAAAACCACCTGAAGGGGAAGGAAATAAAAATCAAATTGTAACGTTTCTTAATAGGTTTCTGACAGAGGTTATGGGAACATTTGTAAAATTCTAAACAAGCTTTTATAAGGAACTATTATTTGGGAGATATGCAGGTATTATATTGTATTAAAGATCTCCTTAAGCGCATATAAGGATCCACTTTTATCTTTTTCCCTTCGTAAACATTATAAGCTGTTAATTTTATTTCCTCCCCTCCTTTCTTACCCGTGGCATATATTTTGCCATTCAGTGTACAGGCGCTTGCGTCAGATCTTTGCATATTCATGGGCGTTATAACGGACCATTGATTTGTCTTGGGATTATAGCGTTCCACTGTATTAAGACGATTATGACCATCATAGCCGCCAATGGCATAAATTAAACCATTCAACTCGGCCACACTGACGTAGCAACGGCGACAATGCATGGGAGCCACCTAAGACAAAGAAGATGCCACGATGAAATTCAAATGACAATTAATGTTTATTTGTCTACCTCTTTCCATGTCTTCTTGATGGCATCAAATACCCGACAAGTATTAAAATATTCCAAACCATCATAACCTCCAATGGCATATATTTTATAACCTATAACAGCTGTGCCATGATATGCCCTAGGACCAGCTGGATCTTCGGCCGGTATATTGACCCATCTGTCGGCCCGTGTGTCATATGTTTCTATGCAGGCCTTGGATGTGCCACCACTCCAGCCACCTATGGCAAATATAACCTCGTGTGGTAAACGTGGCATGGCCAAGGGTGGTGTGGTCAACTTTATGCGTGAGAAGGGCATAAGAAAAGGACAATACAATGATGAGCTAAAAAAACACAGCATCCGATCAGTTAACATACCTCTCCTGATGTGGGATTTATTATATCCAAATCATACATGAATTTAAATGTTTCCACAATCAAAGGCTTTGCTTCTTCACATTGCAGGACGTATGGATGTTCCTTGACCTCCTCCATAAAACACTGAAACACACACACCCACACAGACTCATACATAATCCATTTAATATTTTGGAATGTCAAAATTCATTCATACCTTGGGAGTCATTAAACCCAATCGAACACCCTGCATTAATTGGGCCACATGCTGTTTGCGGTTTTCTGGATCATGATCAATCCATTTAATACACAATTTCCATACGTTATCTTCCTCTCTGGTATTCAGTTCATCGTCATTGATGACATCATAAAAGTCCTTTAAATTCATTTGCAATAAATCCCTATTTTTAGATGCCACCTCAATGAAATGCCGCAACAGATAATTTCTAGCCTTGGCATATAAATCGTTGAAAAAACGAAATCTGCTTAACGAACGAACAAAGTGGAAATAGGAAATACATCAATTAGTTAGGGATTAAGGTATGTATAAAGTAGTTGTGCACCTCTGGTAGGGATGTGTGTTCGCACATGTACTTGAGTACTTACCTTGCAAACCCCATTATGCTGACACAATTTTCCGCTGTTAGCATTTGTGCTAAATATTGTTTGCACATTTTCACCAATCCCGAGATACCGACATAATCGGCTGATATTAATAGTTGATGAACATTATCGTCGTTGATGGAGCATTTTCGTAAATATGCATAGTTGATGATTTCCTCCATGATGCTGAAGCTAACACCTGGTATGTGAACATTGTGATTATTTGTCACTGGGTTGTTGGCGGTATTTGTTGCTGCTCCTGTTGTGGTAAACTGAGCTCTGTTGGGGGAAAGAACATTTCAATTATTTAATTATTAATAAAATGCTATAAATAGATTTTCAACATCGGTTTATATCTGCCTCCCGATAGTAACCTTTTCTTTCGTATTTTGTGCAATTTAAAATTTCTGAAATCAGATTTAGGAAAACAACTCACCGGAAATATGGACTACAGGCGCTCATTATTGCCCGGTGGACATTGAAAGTTCCATCGGCCACACTTATTACCGCATCACAAAGTAAATTGCTACAACGCAATTCATTTAGGGTCTGCAAGGCTTGTTCACTCACTGAGCCTGCCAGCTTCGTCGCTTCTCTACCAACTTCCACTTCCATATCTTCATCCATATCAACATCAGATAGAACACCTTCATCATTGCTAACACTTGCATTATTATTTTGAAGAACAGCCGTTACCCTTTCACGATTCATTTCAATTTTTTTGGATTTATTTACCCGAACACGTAAAATTTGCACAATTAATTTTGAATAAAAAAACTGAGAATTTTGTAAAATTATGATTTTTTTTAAAGTCTTCCCCTTCTTTGGATTTCCCTCTCGCTTAGCTGATTTCAAATGTTACGTCTTTATTAGATTTTTTGGGAACACGCAAAGATTTGATTTACTGGAAATCTTGAAAAAATGCGTTTTTTTAACTTAAATTAATTATTAAAATATTAAATATTTTAAATTATTTTCCCCCCAAAGAAAGGAAAATATTCACAATTGATTGACTTATAAAAATAACATAGAAAAAATATGTCCCAAAATAGAAATAATTTTTAATGCAAAGTTGCACAAAAAAAGTAGTAAAACCAAAAATTCTAATACATGTAAAGAGGTTTTTTATAGATCTGTAGTGAAATTCTGTAACTTTATTCGGTATTACCGACAAATATCGTTGAAATTAAAACACATATTTTAAAATGTAAATATTAAAAATGTTGTTAACTTCACATCTGTCGGTACTTGTCAACTACTTCATTTTGATCGTTAAATTACCGAACATTGTCGCTAATTATCGAAATTATCAGCAATTGAAACATTGATGTATCGACAGAGGGGGCCTTATATATCAGAATTATTTACGATTTTTTATACCCTCCACCATAGACAACCCTCCACCGGACAAGCTTAAAGTCCGTCTGTCTGTTGTGAGCACTCTATCGTCTAAACGAATTAATATAGATCGCCAAAATTTTGTATAGAGTCGTCTTTTGTCTGCAGGCAGGTCAAGTTCGAAGATGGACTACATCGGCCTACGTTTAGGCATAGCTCTCATATAAGGGTAACACTCAATTTTCGGTATTTTAAGATTCTTGAGCGCTTTTCAACTGAATTCTCTGCAACTTGGTACTTTGATTTTTTTTGGGTAGCAATTTTTTTATAAATATAGGTCAATTTTTTCGGATAGCCCCCATATAACGGTACCCCACTTTTCGGTATTTTGGGGGTTCTCGCATTTTTCGGGTCAATTTTTTCGGGTAGCCCCCTTTAAGGGTACCCCCCACTTTCGGTATTTTGGGGTTCTTGGGCGTGTTTTATAACTGAATTCGCTGAAATTTTGTACTTTAAGTTCTTTTTGGGTAGCAAATCTCCCTACTAAAATTATAAATATAGGCCAATTTTTTCGGATAGCCTCCACACAACGGTACCCCCAAATTGTCGGGGTTATGATCGTACAATTCGACATTATTGGCTGTAATTTAGTACTTCGAGTTGTTATTGGGTAGCAAATCTCTCCACTAAAAATTATAAATATATGTAAATTTTTTTGGGTAGCCCCCATATAAGGGTAACCCCCTGTTTTCGGTATTTTGGGGTTCTTGGACGCATTCTAATCATTCAACCTGCGGAGGATATCGAGTTTTGAATGACCAAAAGAACAGCAACGAAACTTTTATATTCCATGTAAAAGAATGCGTCTTCTTAGTACAGAAGTATTTATTTATAATGGTTCAAATCATGGGAAATTTATAACCTCTAACCGGTAAAGAATGAATTAATGATAATGACCTATTTATATCCAATTTTTTGCACTTAATACGGTTTCGCAATGCATCGGCTAGATTCGATTGAATCGGTTATGTTCGATTCATGTATAACAGGCGATTCTTTTGAGAACTAGTCTTTGCTTCCTCCGAGAAGAAAAGTCAAAAAGAACGCTAGAACTAATATTGTTTCTATACTTCCATTTCGGAAATTAATTTTAAGACCTAATTGAAGATTTTAGTATGGCGCATTTCGGATATTGATTTTATAAGTTCAAAGATAAATGTTTGTATACAATATTTCTGAAAAAAATATATTCTCAATCATTTACAGCAAAATGCTACATGTTTCGGATATTTGGGTCATTGGCTTACGTCAGAAAGGATAATTAAAAACAGGATTTCTTTTCCTAAGAAATTTCAATATTTTCCATTTATATATTTTGCATAAAAATCGAATAATTATTTAAAATAGTTCAACGGCTATTTTAAGTAAAATAATATTACCAAAAAAAGCTCTGTCTACACTGCGCAGAATCCTTATTTCACCAATGATGAAAGTCCTTTGGCAAACATAAAAAGGACTGCAACTTGCCGAATAGCAAGTAGTGTTAATTGAACCGAGTATGTGTTAACATCTTCCTGCACAAATACAGATATTACGATTTGCTGTCTTTCGAACATTTTAACGGTTCGGTTAACGTGTCAATTACGACTTCGAATTTTAACGATCTAACAATGTTGGTTTTGCGAGTTGTCTCCTTGGTTGTATTCTTCAGCTTGTTGTGTTATGCCAAAGAAACATGGCTTCGTCCTGGTTGTCACAAGGTGGGAAATACCCGTAAAATCTCTATACCAGATTGTGTTGAGTTTTTGATCACCACCAATGCTTGTCGTGGATTTTGTGAATCGTATTCCGTGCCCTCAATGCCTTGGGGTAATGCTGGCGGTTCATTTAGACCACCAAAGCCCGTGGTCTCGGTGGGCCAGTGTTGCAATATGATGGAATCAAGGGAGGTTAGTGTTCGAATTTTGGCGCAGACACAACCAAGAGGTGATAATATTTTGGATATTTCTTTAAATATTTTTAGGTGCAAAAACGAGTTCTTTGCATGGATGGTTGGCGTAATGTTACCTTTCAGTCGGCTCTTTCTTGTAGTTGTTATCATTGCAAAAAGGATTAAATTGCTGAGGAAATAGAATACGGCAGCGTGATGTAAATAATTGTATAATAAAATATAATGTTAGATGAGCCATTTAAATTACAAAAATTACAAAAAAAAGAACTACTACAAAAAATAGCAACCGCTTACAAGTGCTATTCAATAAATCACAAAAATTACGCTGGGTAAAATAATCTCTTGTCTCTTTTATTTAATTTAAAACCAAAAACGTTAAACTTATCTTTAATATGTACACAATATCGAAGTTGTAAATTTACAATTTGGCCTTGGGCTTTTCGCCAGCACGTTCCAACAATTCGCGCATACTGGTCAAGGCCTCATCAATGGATTTGGCAAACAATTTAGCCGATGTTTCTTCATTTGATTTCCAGGCGGAACAGGCCAAAAAGATATCCGAATCTCGAGGATTATAACAGCAACCATAACCGTCATGAGTCAGGGGACCATAGCACATGAAGGCAGCATTAGGCGAAGCAACTTGTGAAGTAGAAACACGGAAGTGGGCACTCTTTACCACACCAGGCGATTGATAGAATTTCGGTATGGGTTTGTTATTTTCCAGGGCCATGAGTTTAAGACCCAACAAGTGGCGATCAACACCACGTCCTTGCAATGCCATTGTGGTATATTCACGATGACCATTGACGGCCTTTTTCAAGAGTTCAACACGGGTTTCATCGGAGCACTTTGGATCCATCATGGCTTTGGCAAAAGCCAATGATTCATTGGAACAGGAACGAATTGTTTCAGTACGTCCACCATAATAGATACGTAAATGGGCAGTTTCATATTGGGCACCAGCACATTTATGTAGTCTGAAAAATATAGAAATTCAATAAATATTTGGATTAAATAAAAGGTTTTCTATAATTGTTTGTTTTAACTGAACATGAACTAAACCTATAGGAATCTCCTTATGTATGGGAAAATATTTGAGTTTTTAAACTCTAGCACATGATTCGAAAGTTTTATTTTAAAAATGAAAACTTATTTTTCAATAGGAAAACTTATCTGTATAATTTTCGGTTGCGGTTGACGACATAACTTAAAAATTAAGCATTGAAAAATTCACCGAATGCCGTTTCCATTTACACATTTTTGGAAAAGGAAAAACAAATAAATAACATATTTTTGCGAATAGTAAACTATTTGCAAATAATTCAAGATACTTTAGATCAATACCTATTTAAGAGATTAGGAAATGAAATTTTCTTACCTATAGAAAGCATATTGCAAAGCCATTTGTACAAAACTATCAGGAGATAATTTTTGCTTCTTCAAAAAGTCCTTGCCAAATCCTTTGTATTGTAGCACACGCAATTCCAAGTCGTCCGCTAGTTTGTTAACATTTTTGGCAGCTTCGTTGAGTTTTTGCTCAAGAACAGGTGTTGGTTGATCAAATGGCAGCTTGGAAAAGGCTTCGTAATTGTCATTAGCACCATTTTCAAACTCCTGAGGATTGGGGCTAAAAAAGTAATTGAAATTAAATATATTTTAAACAAAAATAATTTGTCTACTTACAAAATCTTGTTTATATAATCAGTCATCATGGCAATAGGTTGACCCTCAGCTGGAGAATGTTCATAACAGAAGCCACTCATGCCGTTGGGATTAACAACGACCTGTAAATGGAAGAAATATATAAATTATTGATTGTTCTTGTAGTTGACATGAATGGTATTCAACATCCATTTGTGCAATTATCTGTAACAAAATTCTGGGTCACAAAAAATATTCAATATTTAATCTTCATACCCAATTGTTTTAATAATTAAAGTTAACTCTTAATAAATGGTGACTGGAAAAGTATCCAGACAAACCTTTTTAAATCATATTTTATTAAAAATATATTTATACCTGTATGGTTTTATCCATCCAACGATTGGCACTGTTTTTATCGGTACCACCACCATGAATCAATTGCAAACCTAAAACATTGTAAACCTCGTCTTGGGCGAATGGCACCACTTCATCCAACGAAACAGTGAACAAGGACTCTTGTATGACCTTAACACTACGGGCATTGGTTGGGGATTTCATTAATTCAGCATAAGCCGAGGCCCAATTGTCACGACTATCGGTGGTTAGCAAACCAATGGGAATGCCCGATTTATTCTCGGAGTTGGCAATTTGTTGTAGTTGCTCAGCCAAAACCTTGGCATTGATAATTACACCATTTTTATTATATACCGGCAACTTGAAGAACTGAAAAAGGGGATTGACAATTTAGTTTATATTGGATTGGTATTGATCGTCATTGCTTACATGATTCTTGTAGACCACAGCAATGTGCTTAGATGTGGGATGATATTCCAGAGCATCTTCCTGTGGACGAGGTATTCTACAGGTACCATACACAGCACTGAACTGTGAATTATCCAATTCGTTTTTGCCCATTTTCACCACAGGTACCTTGCCATCATCTACAACCTGTTTGTATTTAACCAAACCTTGAATGAGCTTGGCTGTGTACATATAGTAATCGGCAGACGATTTAAATTGTTGCAGGGGGAAGGTCATGCCGGGACTGGAGAAAACTGTAACTGGATCACGATATGTTAAGTAGGCGGCTTTCAGCCAACGTGGAGCCAACCAATTTTCTTGGCTCTCAGCTACTTTTTCGAGTATCTTTTGTAATTCAGCACCATCTTTCGCTTGGAATTCAGCAGCCATACGTTTAGTCTCCTCCAATTCTTCTTTGGTTAGAACAGGTTCAGCTGTTTTTAAAAATTTCGGGATTGTTTCTTCCAATTTTAAGGCAGGGAATTTTAAAAGATTTTGCCTTTTTCCAGCAGTGCTGTAATTGGCATTTTGAGGCAACTGAGCTGAACACAAAGCGGCAGATATTTTGCTGGGAACATACAAACTATTTTTGGTCTGTAAAATTAAGTTGCATTAACTTCATTTGGAACAAAAAAGTGTTTTGTTGTTTCCGCTTACCAAATTGCTCAGAACTCTACGTGTTAAAACAGGCATTTTGTCCATTGTTGTTTCCTCAGACAACGAAGTTCTACAAAAATAAACGAATTGTTATACTTGAAGGTTAAAAAATAAATATTGAAAGTAGTTGTTTTCACCTTTGATACTTGTACATAATCCCCCAAAAAGAAATAATTAGCAACAATGCAAAGTGATTATCGCTTGGTGTTTTATTTTTTGCTCTTCTTTGATAAGATCAACGACCTGTTTCGTTTCGAACTACTACTGAAATATTAACCTACTCTAGTACTTTCGCTTACGTTTGTAGTACTTCGCTCAATACCTCCGACTAGGGACGACTGACTAAAAATGTTTAAATGTTATTGAATTGATGCAGCAATCTAGCTCGCTGCTTCAATACCGCTTATCAAAATGAAAACGACATCAACTCAACAAGAAAGAAACAAAAAGTCAACCACGTAATCAAAAACTTTAAACAAGTTGGAAACTGGTATCGTTATGGAGCAGCAACAAGCCTAGTATTACCACCTATTATTTCATTTAAGTAATGCACGCAGCAATGCTAATGCAATGGGTGTGTGGCTATGTGGTGGGGGTTGGGGTAATGATGTGGCGGCGGAGGCCAGCAGAGAAACAACAGGTTTGCGGTGAAAATACACTCTTACTTTTAAAAGAAAACAAAGAGGTGGTGGTAAGAATTAATAAAAAGAGCGAATATAGAAAAATAAAAATTCTTCTCTTTAACATTGCCATCATAGAGAGAATAGTGAATTCGTAGCCCTTATGGTTCATAGATCAGCAAATAATAAATTAGTCAGTATTAACCGACTTCGGAAGCTCGTATAATGAGATTAATGAAATTCCACAGAAATAATAATCAAAGAAGACTCTAGATTTGCTATTTTAGGTTTTCGATACGATTACAGTAGATATCATGAATATATTTAAAATATCTGAATTAACAAGCAATTAAAATGTCCATTATAAAACATTTATATTGAATTCTTATTTTTTGCATTTAGTTTCCTTTTTATCCTTTTTGTCGCTTTGTGTTTTCATTAAAATTTCATGCATTTTGCTTAACGCTTCCTCAATCGATGTGGCAAATTTTTCCGAGCATGTCTCCTTATTCGAACGCCATGAAGTTACCGCCAAAAACATATCATTATCACGTGGATTATAACAACAGGCATAACCATCATCTGTAGAGGGTCCATAACTCATAAAAGCCAAATTCTTTGTGGCAACTTGTGATGTGGAAATACGAAAATGTGAACTCTTAAGATACCCAGGTGAGGTATAGAACTTGGGTATTGGTAAATTATTTTCCAATGCCATTAGCTTTAGACCCAATAAATGACGATCAACACCACGACCCTGCAGTGCCATATTGGTATATTGACGATGACCATTAACTGCCTCTTTGAGTAGTTCCACACGGGTCTGATCATTGGCAGCGGGATTCAACATGGCCCGTGCAAATGCCAGCGATTCATTGGAACATGAACGTATGGTTTCGGTGCGTCCACCATAAAATATACGCAAATGGGCAGATTCATATTGGGCAGCAGCACATTTGTGATGTCTAAAATGTGAAAATTTAAAAACCGATTTCATTTTTACAAACCATGAACAAATTCCCATACTTATAGAAAGCATATTGTAAAGCCATTTGTATAAAACTATCTGGACTTAATTTTTGTTGCTTAAGAAATTCTTTGCCATAGCATTGATAGTGCGAGACTTGCACATGGAAATTTGCAATTAATTTGTCAACATTCTCGGTGGCTTTGTTCATTTGTGCCTTTAGGCAATCCGTTGGTTCGGCAAATTCTAATTTTGAAGCACATTCATAATTTTCACTACAGCCATCTTCAAATTCTGAATTTTTAGGCCTTTAAGAAGTGTACTAAAATAAATAAATTATAGGAGTAAACTTTTTAAATATCTTACAAAATTTTTGTCAAATATTCGGTCATCAAAGCTATAGGTTGGCCTTCTGCAGGAGAATGTTCATAACAAAAGCCGCTCATGCCATTCGGATTGACAATAACCTGGATTGATCAAAGGTCAAACATTAATAGATAATAAAAATTATACATTTAACTGAAAGACAATACGGCGACCAAATAATAGAATGTTTTTGTGTTTTTGCGTTCATTTTCATTGGCTTCCCCCTGTTTTGTTTTATCTTCAATAAAACGTACTTGTATAGTTTTATCCATCCAACGATTGGCAGAATTTTGCTTAGATCCACCGCCATGTATTAGCTGATGTGACAAAACATTATATTTATCCGCATCCTTAAAGTCAACACACTGATCCAGTGAAACGGTAAACAATGCCGAATGTATACACTTCAGACTTTTGCAATTATTGCCACATTTACTTAATTCCAAATACGATTCAGCCCAATTATCACGCTGATCCGTGGATAAAATGCCCAAAGGTATACCATAAGTTTTTTCGGTATTAGCTATACGCTTAAGCTCTTCCGCCAATATTTTGGCATTTACAATGCGACCATGTTTATTGTAGACTGGTAGTTTGTAAAACTTTAAAGAAACAGAAGATGGTAGAACAATAGGGTTTATACTTTGTATTAGAATCCCCATATTTACATGATTCTTATAAATAACCACCACATGCGGAGATTTGGGATTATATTCAATATCATCCTCCTTTGAGAGAGGTATGCGACAGGTGCCATACACAGCACCAAATTGTGAATTATCCAATTCCAATTTACCCATTTTAACTATTGGTATAAGACCATCATCAACTTGTTTCTTGAATTTAATCAAACCCATTATAAGTTTAGACGTATAGTTATAGTATTCATCGAGATTCTTGAATTTAATAATTGGAAATGTCATACCAGGACTTGAGTATATTGTAACTGGCAATCGATTAGCTAAGTAGGCATATTTAAGCCATCTAAGAGCCAACCAATTTTCTTCACATTGTGCGGTTTTTTCTAGTAATTCCTGCAATTGAGCCCCTTCACCACACGTAAACTCTTCTGCCATTTGTTCAGTCTGTTCATATTCCTTATCGCTAAGTAGTGGTTGTATGCTTTTTAAAAATTTCGGCATTGTCTCATCCAATTTTAGTGCAGGATATTTTAGAAGATTTTGCTTTTTCGATCGACAACATGGTGAGGAATAGGTTCGCAGGGAAATTTTTATGGGCCATGATTTAATAAGAATTGCATTTGATATTATATGAAACTATGGAATAACGGAAATTATTATATGGAAAATATAATGCAAGGAATTCCAATTACATACCACATATTTTGATACAGCGCGATCTATGATTTTCATGTTGTAAATTATTTTGATTTGCTGTTATTTTAGTTCGGATCGTTTCTAAAATAACAATAATAAGTAACCTTGGTAAATATTTTTCCTGACATTATTCGTTTTAAGCGGTAGTCGTTATAAGCAATATCGATTAAGGGCAGAACATTCCTATTTTCGTTCAAATAAAGTCTATTTGTAACATTTTTTATTTGACAGTATTTTTCTATTTTGTATGATTTCATTTTTATCCGATTTAAAATATACACTGGATTTATGAATATGATTTCGATCGTTAGGATGGCGTTCAGGGAGGCTAAAGGGAAGCTAAAATCAACCATACCCCTTCCAGTCAATCGGTTCAAAATACATCATTAATTTGATTTTTAATAATATAGGGCAAAGGTCTATTTATTTGGTTTAATTTCATTGTTGATTAAAGAGATTTTATAAACATAAAAAATTAATAGGAATAATTCTCGTGTTGGGGACAAAAGCAAAAGAGAGAGAGAGAGAGCGATCCCCAAAACAACAGAGAGTAAATCGGCTATGTACATCTTTTGCAATACTATGACCCCAAGAAGAGAGTATTTTTTTCTTCTTTGTTATTCTCATTGAATTACTTAATAAATTGCACCGGTTTTATTTTAATTTACCTTGTTGTTTCTTTTTTATTTATTTCGTTTCCAGTGAATTGATTTTCAACAAATTCGATTAAAAATAAATATGATTTTTTTTATTATATTTTTTCTACAATTGACACCGATATTTTTCTATTAGCTTCAATTGACAATTGTTATTTTTGTTTCTTTTTTGTTTATATGTATGAATGTTGCCATATTTTCCAAAGTAGATGAGAGTATTATTTTGTATTATTCTCTGTCGATTTTATCATGTATAAGAAAGCTGTGAGTTGTGAAATAATGTTTGTTGATCATTTAACGGATCTTAAGGAAATATCTAAAATTTGAAATGATCGAAATGGATACATTTTAGCAAATTAAGCTTAAAAAAGGAAAGAAAATCACAGTATTGAATATTTACATATGAAAGCTTTGTGTTGTGAAACTTCGCTTGCTTGTAAATCATTTAACGGATCTTTAAATGTTGAATATAATGACACGAGGGTTAGAATAAGTTAGAAAAACTGTTATCTTTTTACCTGAGGTTCATGTATTCCTCTTTCATCTCAATTGGGGACACTGACCTCCCCGCGGTGTCGCCTGAGGTAACTATTTTCATCATCCATTGAAATAGTGAGCTGATATGTGTCGCGAGTTACTATACGAAAAAGCAACGAAAAAAAGCGAAGTTCTTCTACATCAGTCTTATTAGCGTCCATGCTCTGACCGAAGACAAAGATGAGCAGACCAATGACATATTTTACGAGCGCCTAGAAACATCTTTCGACCGCTGCCTTGGCCTATTCGTCGACTATAAAGCCACATTTGACAGCCCTATCCGTTCAGAGGTGTTTACAGCCATGTCTGCGTTCGGCATTCCTGCAAAATTAATAAGACTATGCAGGATAACTTTAAGTGGCACAAGGTCAGCAGTTAAAGTCGGAAAGGATTCAGACAAGGTGACAGTTTGTCGTGTGACCTTTTTAACAAACTGCTGAAAAAGGTCATAGGAGATGCAAATGTGAACAGAAATGACACTTTGTACACCAAACAGCCTACGCCGATGACATCGATATAATGGGTCGAACATCGAATTGGATGGAAAGACCAAGTAGAAGACACCATCTTGGGGCATGGTCTTTCAAATTGGAGGAGATGCGCACAAGACCGGCGACCTTGGAATTTTTATGCTCGGTTTATGGAACAACCGTTCTGTAACAAGCCAGCTAAGTAAGGTCTGGGGCGACTGTTCCAACTGAACCAGTTGACTTCCTTTTATTCCCGCATATCAAGAAAAATGTGTGATCAACGATTTTGTCGCCTAAAATTTTTTTGAAGCGTTCAGAAATTAAAAAAAACAAAGGTGAAACATTTTGTTAATTTTTGTTCAAAGTAAATAACTCTTCAAAATGTAACCTAACTTTATTACTTGAAAACATGTAAAATGTTGGTAAATTCAGGCCGGACGAACTTTTTACCTTAAATTAGTCCGGTCCCTTATATGTGAGATTTGTCATTGGGTTGAAATTGGCCTACGATAATCAAAAAACATTAAAAGGAGCGGTTGCTTTATATGGGGGCTATGTAAAACATGTATCTTCATTGTAAATTGTCAGGATTTTTATTTATGTAAGCATTTAAAATAAAACAACATGCCGTTAATTTTGTAGTTTTTTTTATTTATTTAAAATATTTTTTTTATATTTTAAACTTATATACTTAAAACTACTATTTTACCATCCACTGAAATATGTACAAAATGTTAAAATAGTTATATAAAATAATTGCATTTTAAGACCAATTTAGACAAGAGAATTTAGAGTAAAATTCGTTAAGGTAAAAGGCAAAATCGAACACTGGGAATTAATATTAGGATTTATTTTTTATTAATTGACTTTCGTCTGCCCAATAATATTATCCCCTTGTCTAGAAAAGTCTTCTAAATAAATATTAATTAATGATAGGAAGGGTTAAAATATTTTTAACAATTCTTTCTTTTCGAGAGGGAGAGAATTCTTTAAAAACAAAGTGACATTGTTTTCTTTTATAGATTCATAATTCTTACATAACACAAAATCATAGAATTATTGTTCGATTTGGATTTCTTCTTTTTTTCAAACAATCTATTATGATTTTCTTGTTAAGAATTTTATTTTAGTTTAGGACAAAAAAGAAAACATTTGGTTTTATCCTCACAGAGGCGGAATTGGGACTATAAAAATACTAACTTATTTAGGTAAAAAAAATATTTAAGAAAATCTTAAAAACTAGACTATATATTTAAAACTAATTTTATGGATATTTATGCATGTGTGTTTGTGGAAAAAAATGAGATGAGCCACAGCAATATCGATGTTAAAACAATTGTGTTTGTTTTCAAAATCTAAAGACCTATGGTTATATGCAAATCGTTATGATAAAAAATACAAACAAACCAAACCCAAATAAAATTTATTTGTTGTTTTTGTAATTCAATAAGACTGAATGACTGGCTGACGGACTTCTCTCTTATACATCGACTTTTTTATCTCTCTATCACAGTTGATCGTTTTCGATTTATTGGGCATTTGGAATTTCCCCCATGAAGCCTATAACTTGATTCGGGATTGAAGGCCAATGAGGCGACCAGGTGTTGCGGTTATTTTTTTCTCACAGAATCTTGAAAAGAATCCATTTAAAAATACTAATGACAACACCAAAGCTATTTACCACCGCCTTGTTTGGAAATAGTTTTGATAGCCCACATTGACCATTCAATTCGCCTCACCTGATGTCATGTGTGGTTGACAAAATGTGCGCTATAAATTATATATAAAAATACAATACATATTTAAATGATAATTAGGCTTAATTAATCTCAGTAAATTTACACATAGCTAATAACTACGTAGTGTGGTGTATGGTGTTGTTGTTATTGTTGTTTCTACTATAAAACCAGTTCCATTAAATTTGAATACTTTTGTGTGTGTCTTCTTTATGGGATTTGTGAATGAAGTTGTGCGTGCGATGATGATGATGATGAGCGCCTTTTCTTAGCTTAGATGGTTTAATGTTGACCAGGAACACTCCCATGTGTATCTGTCATAGAACTTCGACATCTGCTTAAGCTGATGCCAGTCTGAAAGAATAAAAAACAAACAAAAATGTTAATAAATTATTGATAAGTTTCATTGAACTTTGTTTATTTTTATTTATTTATTTTTTAATGTTTGATATACCCACACGCCACTAAGCGATTTCTTTAATATTGCAAATAATTATTTGGGTTTATCAATCAAAAAAATCAAATGAACTTGTTAACGACGAAGAAGTAAACACATTAAACCTTTTTTTCTATTCTACAGTGTGAAATTGTATGCACGTGGTGATTATTCGGCTAAAATATTGGGTTAACATAAAAAAGACATGTAAAAACGCTGAAAGCCGCATTCTACAACTGAATTGATTTTAAGAGGGTAGTTCGAAAAGTTTTTAGCCTATCACAAAAAAAAAGAACAGAAAAAAGTTATGTGTCTTGGAAAAGTCCATCACTGTTGTGAACACATGTTAAATATTGTTTCGATCTGGCAACAACTTCATATAGCAACAGGTGTTCAAAAAATGGAAAAATAAGAAATGCGTGCTTTCATTGTAAAAAAATGCGCATGCGTCTTTTTTGAACACATGTTTCTATATGTAGGAGTTGCCAGATCGAAACAAAATTTAACATGTGTTCATAACAGCGATGGAAGTTTCCAAAACACTTAACTTTTTTCTGTTTATACTGCGCTTTTTGTGCTAGTCTAAGAACTTTCCGAACGGCTCTCTTAAACTCACTTCAGTTGCGCCTAGGACCATGAAAGTGTATCAAATGGAGAATGGACTATGTGTAAACATTGGTCTATATTAGTAATTGTGTGCGAAGAAGTTTTTTAGGCATCCCGAAATTCCGAAAGTTATAAAACAGTAATTTCGTGGATAATGCGTTTAAATCCGAAAAAAAAATATTAAAAATAGGGCGGACATATCTGCGAAAACTTTTTTTGCACTTTTTATTTACTTTTTTGAAGATCCTGACCCTCTCTTTGATATCTTGAGTTTTCGAAAAAGAAATTAAGCATCCTTAATTTATTATTTACTTACATTTTGTCCCTCCTCATCGTCATCATCATCGGATGCATATGATTTTGATATTAAACTATCATTATTCGTTTCACCATCATCCGAACAGGATGGTGTTGAATTACGACTCAGCGTTAAGGTTGCTGTATCACTTTCATTGCCCTCATCGGTATCGGTGTTGGAGATTGCCGGTTCCAATTCCAAGGCAAACGAACCACGATGTTTAGTGGTGTTCCCTTGTTGTTTTTCATTTATCGAAGTCTGCAGCTCGGTATATAATTCATCCGATTCGTGGCCATCATTACGCACAATCATATTATTATTTTCATTCGAATGTAACAATTTCATTTCACATGGATTATAGACACCATTTGTGGCCACTTGTAGGAGGTTTGCTCGTGCATAATTCACCTCCAGGGTTTGGCCATTTTTACTGAGGGTGGTTAAACGCATTGTTGCCCGGGTGACGGCGTATAGTAGCAGGGCTAAACCAAATACTAAACCAGCCCAAAAACCAACGGGTTCAATGTAGGGTAAAATATTCAAATAGAAATTGAAGCGGGAATCCAATGAATCTGGTAATTCGGGTAATGTCTAAGAGGGAGGAAATAGAAAGGAAAATATTTTTTTAATAAAATTAGAAAAATGGAAAAATTTTAAAATAAATTCTAACAATTTCAAACCACAACATGGGCACAGTCAAATGGCTAAAACGTTTGACCCGACTATAAGCAGACAAATCATGGAAGTGCATATTGATTTGTACCTTCACAGATAATGAAAGCGGTAAACCAGATTCCTAAAATGAAAGATTAAAAAAACAATAACAACAATTAATATAGAACAAAAACAATTAATTAATACGACAAATTATAAATATACAAATAATTATTTGACAATAAGAGAAAAAAACAAGCCAGGCTTTACGTCAATAGAATAATTTTAAAAGTTAACCCATTGACAAGCAGCAATGGCGGATCAACGAGACGTTTAATTTTAATCAAATGTAACGTAAATGTACCTTGCATAGAACCTTATAAATTCAAGGACATTTTTCACGCAAAAATGTGAAGTACAAAATCATTTGCACAGATCATTGCTGGCGAGCTACTCCGTACATTATTCTAGTCATGATTAGACAACTGAGAGATTATTTTTTACGATTTTGTTCATAACTTCATTTGTAGTTTATTTTCGTCATGTACCTCACTTTGAGTATATGTAAAAATTCTTATAATTAAGAAACAATTTTTCCAAATATGTACACATTTCATGAATTTGAAAACTATTGTCTTATTTTTTCCAACTTGATCAATATTGTGCTCATCTTTTGCCTCTTTTTTGACAAACTCTTCTGTAATTCCTTCCAAACAAAAACCAGGTTTTAATGTTTTATGAATTGTGTTCATAAAATGCAGATCAAATTTCCTAACTTTATCAACATTATCATGATTTTTTTTAAGAAATTTTGCCTATTTTTAAATGTTTATGAAAATAATTTTAAGGATCTCATCTAATTTTTCCTAGAAATTTCAAACATTTTCAAAAATGTTATCCGCCAACCCTGGGGTTAAACTGTAATGGCAGTTAAAATTATAGTCATAAACAATGTGCAACAACAACGAACTTCCCATTTAATCGCGGAAATTTAATTAAATTGCAAACAACCAAGTTTATCGAACACGCAGTTTAGCTATTGGTGTTACTGATCTGATCTACTCTAGTCTCTAATAGTAATAGCACGATATGGCTATCATTGTTACAATTTTAATGCTGTTGTTCTTTGAAGTTATTTTGTTTCTATAAAAAAATCTTAATCAAAGGTTGTAACAACAGCTTTAACGCATTATTATATAATTAAAATTAATCGCTAATTTAGACAACATGTCTAGAATCGACATTCTATTTTATTGAATTCAGATTGATTACTGATCGGTAGTTAGGAAATTCAACGAATAGATGAAATGACGTTGGGGTGGTGGGTAGGCGGTTAACGTATAATTAGGCCACACAACCCACAATGTTTTCTAAAAAAACGGATTTAGAGCAGGGACTTAATAATTAAAAATATCACGAACCGACTGATAAATATCACGAACCGACTGATATGCCCTCGTAGATCAATCATTGCGTGATAGTTTCAGTTCCCCTCGTAGTTTTCATATCATCATAGTGAATTATGGGATATAGGAGTTTTCTTGAATAAGAAAAAAAAATATTCAAAAATGTCTTCTTTTTTTAAATTTAAATAAATGTATTGTGTTTTCTTATTATATACATATATTTTTAAGGCAATTTGTTCGCGAACACCCAGACCACAATAATATTAATTAATGTCCATAAATAATTATGTATTTTAAAGACAAATAATCTAAACAAAAGAAACCGGTTTCTTTTGTTTAGATTTATTTTTTATTTATAATTTCTATAAATGGTTCAGAGATTATTCCTTTACGCCAAAAAAATTGTTTGTGCTAATATTAAATCGAATAGATTCAATAAAATTTCTAAATTAGCAGATAATTGTTATTATCTGTTGCATTTATTAATAAATAATTAACATATAAAATTAATTGTTGTTTACATTTTGACAATTTATTTTTAATTTTAGAAAATAAATTTGATTTAAAAATATGGGTTCTAGAACTTTTTAGATTAAAAACATTAATTAATACATTAATACTCTGAGAGTAGACAAATTAAAAACTAAACTAGAAGAGGGTGCACTCAGCCCTTAAAACATCAGCAACACACAATGCGAGAGGAATTATCGGAAGAAAATGAGAGAGGAGAAATGCATTTTCAAAAGAGAGAAGAAAGAACAAGAATATCGTGAGCGAATCGAGATGTGCAGGAGTCAGAATGAAGTCCGGATATGGAAGAAGCATTTGCAATGCTTCTGGTATCAATTAATAACGATGAAGAAGATACCCCAGAACCAATTAGAGAATACGATATAGATTTTATACCACCTAGCCGAGATGAGGTCTGAATAGCAATTAATCGGCTGAAGAATAATAAAGATGGATTACCAGCCGATCTATTAAAGACCGGAGCATGCATCAAATGATTAGTACAAATTGGCTAGAGGAATTTGGCATGCCCAATGATCGGAACCTTAGCATCCTGTGTCTCGTGGACAAAAAAAGAGACAAGGCGATATGTGCCAACTATATATGAATTAGTCTCCATTCCATTGCATATAAAGTGCTATCAAGCGTGCTGTGTTAACGACCGAAATCAATGGTCAATGATATTATTGGACCATACCAATGCGGCTTCAGACCTGGCAAATCCACCATTGACCAGATTTTCACTCTGCGCCAAATCCTGGAAAAGATCCATGAAAAGTACAATCCGCTCAGAGGTATTTAAAGCCATGTCTGCGTTTGGCATTCTTGCAAAATTAATACGGTTAACTTTTACTGGCACAAGGTCAGCAGTTAATGTCGGAAAGGACCTCTCAAAGCCCTTTAATACCGAATGCGAATTCAGACAAGATAACAATTTGTCGTGTGATCTGTTTAACATTCAGCTGGAAAAGGTCATATGAGATGCTAATGTGAACAGAAATGGCACCCTGTACACCAAACAGCATATGCCGACGACATCGACATAATGGGTCGAAAATTGCTAGCCGTAACAGTAATGCTGGGCAACCATGGGAACTGGTGCCCGTGTTTTGCATGTATCAATAAGCTCGTTCTCTTTTTGTAAGACATTTCATATGGCGGTTTCTCCTTTACTCTCCTCTCTTTTTGCACACCTCTACGTAACAGCCACCTTTGAACGAATTGAGAAGGAGACTGACAGTAAATGTCGAGAAGACCAAGCTGATGGAATCAATGCCCAAGACGTCCAGCAGACTCGGACCAAATTTGGATATATTTATTTATAAAACTAATAAAATCAGCTTTGAAATCCGGAGAAGAATAGTCTTGAAGAAAGAACAAGTGGAAGATAACATTTCTTTCAAATTGGAAGAACTGTGCACAAGATCGACGTGCAGAATGGGAAGACCACGAATCCGATGGAAAGATAACATTTCTTTCAAATTTCAAATTTTTAAGCTCATCTTATGGATCAAATGTTCTGTCACAAGCTAGCTATGCCAGAATTACGGAGGGTTGAAAAGTTCGATTCGTTTCTAATATCTACTTATTTTAAAATAAATAAAAAATGTTCTATAGGTTTTTCCAAATTACATATTTTATGGGTACCAAATCTTATATAGAAATTCGATCCATAGGTGAAAGAAAACTTATTCGTTGGTTTCCAAAAAAATAATACATATATATTTTTTAATCCTTGTATGAAAATGGATAATTCAATCCACGAAAAAAATTTTCCTTTGAAATCTGAACACCCACCAATGACCGAATAGAAAACATCTGCCATGAATATCAGATTATGATGTCTAACAAAATGTATTTTGATTCCGACCTGGCATCTGAATTAACTATAATAATAGAGTTTGTATTGTAATTAAACATTGTTTTTATGGATGCTGTTGTTTTTTGTTGTTGTTTGCAACAAAATTATTTACAAATTTTTTATTAGATAGATTACCTCAAGATTGATTAAGAGACTTTAGTAGATTGTTTTTTTTTGTTTGTTTTTGCGTTTGATAAATTAATTGGCATTTTTACAACTTATAATTGGTTTCCATTAAAGTCAAGTTGTTTTTATTGATTGATGATTATTTAGTGGAAATATTTTCTATGAAAAGTAAAAAAACTCAATCAAGTAGAAAAAATGGTAATTAAATATAAAACTAAATAAATACATACACAAACACGTGTATGTTTTTGTGATATTAACCTTAAACTAGCAATGTATGTCGGAAATGTCGGTATTTTTGTTTTTTGACAACAGTAGAACAAGGAGGATCCTTTCACTTTTCTGAAACCCTTTAATGATGTTATTATTGTTAACTGTTTTTTTTTTGTTTGACTGTGTTGGAGATATGGACGATTTTGTAATTTTAATGGGACGGAATGTTCTGGCCAAAACAAAAAAATCTTCCATTCGCAAAGTGCTTTGGGCATACCAAGTCATAATGATTGCGGCCCCCCTTTTGAAAGGAACTAGGAAACTATGATTCATCGGTATCTGTTTTTTCGTTGGCCCCCCTGCCTTTTCGATGAATTTCAATAACAACATGGAAATGTTAATTGACGGCAGGGAAACAACATCAAGAACAAAATATGCGGCACGCAAACGCTTAACAGTAATCATCGATTGCTATGCTCGCTGTCTGAAATATTTAACAACATTTTGTACGGAATCGCAAAGGCGATGAACAAACTTGTTTGGCTGACTGGCTGTTTCGAGCAGACACTATGGCCTCAAACAGTTACTTTTGCTGACTGACTAAATGACTTATTGACTAACCGACCGAAAATCGGTAATTGTGACGAAAACATAGCTTGAAGTTTAACTTACCGGCTCGATGATAAATTCTGATGAATGTTTTTCCTTGTTGGGCTCCAAACCAGTTATGTCGGTTTGTAGACGAGGATCGCCATCCATGAAGTGGGGAAATGATAGTGAAATTGGAAAACCGTAATAACAATCGGTGACGTCAACTAAACCCACAGGCTGGCAGTAACCTGAAATTGTAGGAAAAAATAAAAAAAAAATGAAATAAGTAAACAATGTTAAGACATAAATGTTAACAACATATTGTTGTTGCTGTTGTTGTTGTATTCGCGATGTATTATTGATGTTTTTACGGGAGTTATTTTTGTAAATGGGGCGTTATTTTATGACTTATTTTGCACATGAAGAGTATTAAAACATCGATGTTAACAACTTAATTTTGTTATCGAAAAATATGAAGGATTTATGACGAACAGGATCGCCTATCATTTAGGGATAAATATTCGAAAACAAAATGTATTTAATTAAGAAGTTAATTCTATAGCCGACTAGGTAAATTTTCTATAAAATGTACAAAAAGTATTTAACTGGCACAAGATCAGCAGTTAAAGTCGGAAAGGACCTCTCGGAGCCCTTCAATACCCAACGAGGATTCAGACAAGGTGACAGTTTGTCGTGTGACCTGTTTAACATCCTGCTGGAAAAGGTCATCCGGGATGTAAATGTATGTATGTAAATGTAAAAACTTCAAAAAAATCTATGGGCCGATCTGTTTCGACGGTGAATATCGCCGTCGAATGAACCATCAGTTGTACCATCTATTCTCGAACATCGACATAGTCAGACGGATCGAGCTGCAGCGACTACGTTGGCTAGGTCATGTTGTGAGTATGGATAAGGATGCTCTAGCTCAAAAGGCATACAAGAGGGAGCCAACTCATGGACCACGTAGAAAGGAAAGGCCACGAATTCGATGAATAGATCCAGTGGAAGAAACATCTCGAAACATGGTCTTTTAAATTTAAAGAGCTGCCCACGACCGACGCACCTGGAAATCTTTTTTAAGCTTTAAGTGGTCGTCAGGACATAAAACAGCTCGGAAATAGTTCCAGAATGCCCATTATAAGGACAATTGAGCATAGTGCCTTTATATTAACCAATGTTTATACCCTCTACTATAAGCAGAGGGTAAATATTCCGTCATTTGGAATCCCGGGTTCTTGTAGTGTGAAAAATATCTTTACAGAAAAATTTTAAAATAGGTCCATGTTTTGGTATAGATCCCGTTATCAGTATTTTGATGGCCCTCGGCGCATATCTTTATATGGATAAAAAGCTTTTCATAGTAGTCACATACTTTTTTTAGTGTAGCCCCTTTTTTGATATTTGTATGCTCCTAGGTATATTTTCTAACCGAAGTAATTGCAAATTGACATTCTGCATTCTTGACAAAACTTCTTCGCAAAAAAATCTCAATAATGATCGGTTTATATTTAACGGATGAAATGGACCAAAAACTTTATTTGTGTCTGTTTTTCTGCTCGCTCTAGATGCCACAATTATGACCCGAGCCATACGAAATTTTGCACAGAGAAAAGGGTCTGGCCGTAGAATAAGCATGACTGCTTTGATAAAGATCGGTCTATATTTAGAGGGACGCAGGGTCCGATTACACTGCTGCGCTCACTGGTTTTAAATATATTGAAGGTCCCTGCCAAATTTTCCAAACTTAGTGTCTGCAATTTGTTTTTTTTTATTTTCTTAGAGAACAAAAACTCTCCTCGCAAATAATTTACAAATGTTGACATAAAAGTTCGTTCAGATCGATGTATTAGTTTTTGCATTAATGTTTGTTAATAAAATCTCCAAACTGAATTTTGCTGCAATTATTTTTTATACTGTAAATAAATCCGGTACATTTTCATAAAAATATAAACCGGTAGGCTAGTGTAAAGCTAAGAACTGTCAATCAAGGCTATGAATAAAGCCTAGACTTAAATTCCTTCATATCTAAAAATATGATTACATTTTTATTTAATGTAACTTTAATGACTACAAATGATGATATGCAGATTGGTTGCACCACGGCAACAATACAACAATGCAATGCAGTCAAACTGCAATATAGAGGTAAAGAGGGAGGTAGACAGATAGAGAGGAATATCCAGCAAGGGACAAAAACTATGAATATCCAACTGAAATGTGTCAGCCACTTGATTGTATATCATAATCTTAACAGCTCTATTATATGTAATTTTAATCAGCGTTTTGTTGTTTTAATTGTCATATTAATCTTCGGCTCTTCTAATGATCGGCGGTAATAATTGAAACTATGATAAATTAACTGGAAGGTTGGCAACTATTACCCCCTCCAAGTTGGTTATCAGACAATGTTTGATTATTGAATTTTCCAGGTTTTTTATTTTGGTGGATTTGTGCATTTGTTGGTGTTGCCATTGTTGTTGTTATTAATTACAAATTATGGCTATATTTTACAGACAGATTTTCTACAATGACTTGACAATTATTAACCCCGTCACAAGATGATTTCATTAACAATTTTATTGCTAGGGACTTTCTGTTGTTGATATTTAGCTGTTGTCGTTGTTGTTAGGAAAAATATTCCGAAATTATCTGGCAATGAAGTGTTTCGATTAATTTGTTACAAAAATTCCAACAATGCTGTTGATATTTGACGTCAAATGCGGTAACATCATTACTACCATTTTCTGTTATGTGTGTGTGAGAGAGAGTGAGTGCTACAATTGCAATCGGAACATTTGTTTTTGTTGATCATGAACATGACAATGACATTGTAGTGCAATGAAATTTAGAGGAAAATAAAAACAAAGCATTAACAAAAAACGAAAGCACAACAACAAATTTGTTATGGTTTTTTTTTGTTGTTGTTTTTTTTTATCATGAAAATGGGACTTAAAAGCTTTTCTAAGTTATGCCCCTTTTGAGACATATTTATGTCAACTTAATTTGTCAAACTATTTTTTAAGTTTTTGTTTTTATTATTAAATAACTCCCCCTTGGACAGAAGAGAATGTTGCTACCGGAAATGCAGTAAACTGGAAAAACATATGATAGGCAAGAATATCATGCGATATTATTGTATTGTCGATTCGAAGGCTATGCAATCGTGTTAATCTGGTTTGGAAACTGAATCCCAGTCAAGAATTGAGCCGTTCAATTTGATATGCTCGAAAATAAAACAACAAAAATGAATAGGGTGTTGAAATTAGATATGTTTTGAAATCAGATATCAGGTAAAACATTTTAAATTTATAAAGTGAAACATTTCTTCTCCTTTCAAACTCAATATTCTTTTCTTAATGACCATAAATACCCCATAATGATTTATAGAATATATCAAGAATTACCTTTACGACAAAAGCATTTATTTTTCTCATTGACACGACCATTATCCAACAGATTATCTTCAAAGATATATTTATAGCCCGACAAACTGCCTTTACGGATTAGTTCATCATCGGCACGATGTAATGTCACCGGGCGGCACATACTTTTTCTAAAGAATTTCAACGTGTCATTGGGCTTTATAAAACTGGGGAACTTAACACCATCTGAAGCATTTTCAATGTTGCTGCAATGTTCACCATCCCACTGGCGGAGATTTGGTGAACCACGATAGGTGGCATAGAGACCAGAAATTCTGGGATCCGGAACACCGGTATGGAATGTTTCAAAATCTTTGTTAAAATCCATCATCTGCAAGAAAAGGAAGAAATTTTGATTAATGAAATATTTTTGAGCCTGTGAAATGCCATGCGGAACTTACCCTATCAACCAAACCAACTTTATCGAAATATATCCATCCGGGTAAAAATGTGTTACCCAATGATGTCAGTGTGGTGGCATAACCAAACATAAATTCCTTGGCTGTCATACGGACAATGGGCTTGGAATCCTGCGATGCAAATAGGCTATTCAAAGCCATGCGTATGAAAAATGGTTTGTCTGCCGTCAAATGGGATATGGCCTGCAAAAAATAAAAGCAAACAATCAGTTAGGGAATTAAAAATGGAAATTGCAGGGTAATTGAAATTTATAACACTCTTAATAATCGATAGTTATGGCTAATTGTTTAACTAGCTGTCGTGTCGATAATATTCATATATAATAATTATTGTTTTATTTTTTCTTCTTGTGTTCGAGTTGTACCCCTTTATTTTGTTGTAGTAATTGTATTAAATGAATATAGATCATATACGTTGGAAAAAAACGCAATAAACTTTATTGTTTATTATGCAATAAATATTGCTTCTAAGAATTTCCATAATTATTTCCCTGGAAAAGGGTTTGTGATTTCTTGATTGTCGTTGCAGGGCAATTAAAATGAAAGAAAAAAACTTACAAGCTCCGGATAAAATTATTAATATTCAATTAATATGTCTTAATAATACAAAATCTTGAAGTTGTGTTTTAGTTTTGTTTTATATAATTAAATTTCCTTTGCTATTTTTATATATGTTCTGCATGTGTTTTAAATTATTTGTAAAAAAATGCATGGCATCAGTTCAATAGCCAACAAATGAAGAAATCAAATTTATCACGACATTCTTTCAAAATTAAACACACTTTAATAATAAGAATTTAATATTAATTTCATTTTAATCTTCCTTACACACCCAAATCTGGCTAATGTGTTTACATTTGCCTTAGGCTGCAATTAGTTTCAAACAATAATTGAGGTATAATGTTAAGAGAGAGAGAGAAAATGTTAATTGCAATTTGAAATAAAGCCAGTAAGGAAAGTAGTCAAGTCGGGCGTGGCCGACTATATGATACCCTTCACCACTATGGGTAAATATTACACACTAACACGAAAAATCGGACAAATATATGTATGGGAGCTATATCTAAATCTGAACCGATTTTCACTTAGCACACTAGACTCAATTCAGTACGCTATGCCAAGTTTCGTGCAAATCAAAAGAAATACGGGGGCTTTTGTCCTCCATTAATCTAAAATCGGACGAAATGTATATGGGAGCTATATTTAAATCTGAACCGATTTTCACTAAACTTAGCACACAACATTCTAGACCTATTTCACTACGCTGTGCCAAATTTCGAGCGAGTGGAAAGAAATGTAGGGTCTTTGGTACACTATTTACACAAAATCCGTGTAAATAAATCTAAATCTGAACCCATTTTCACGAAACTCAGCACACATCATTCTGGACCTAATTCAGTACCCTATGCCAAATTTTGTGCCAATCGAAAGATATGTAGGGACTTGGATGTACCATTTACGTAAAATCGGACGAAACTATATACGGGAGCTATATCTAAATCTGGCCCCATCTTCACTAATTTCAATGGGGTTCGTCCAAATAAGTGACTTGTTCCAAATTTCATCCAAATAGGATTAGAAATGCGACCTGTACTTTCATTACAATTTAACATGGACAGACGGACGGACGAACATGCATAAATCGACACAGGTAGTGATTCTATACACAAAAGGAACCATGTGCCTATCTCGTTCCTTTTGCTTGTTACAAATATATAAAAAGTATAAAAATTCCTTAAGTAAGGCACACCATGACATATTGCCCACGCTAAATCGGTTGGGGCATTTAAATTGGGTCTATGAAAGTTTAATAGTCTTCAAGATTGCTGAGAAAACGAAATGCTACATTTCAGATACTCAGATTGGATAATTCGACTAGGGACTTCATTTCTGCTGAAAATTAGGCGTTATTTAAAAACATGGACCTATGACCATGACCAATTTCTGGGGAGAATTTGTTTATTTCGTAAAAATAATGCAGCCAAAACCTTTAAAATACCGAAAAATACAGAGCATGATAATACCCTTATATGGAGAACCTATATAGAAAAATTTGTTTTTGACCCTCCAAGAACCCGGAATGCCAAATTACAACCACTTTGGTTGCAAAATGAGAATAAAGACTACCGAAAATATGGTGGGCTATCGCAAAACGTGAATTTTTAATATCAAACATTCTTGTAGTCTTAAAATTTATATTTTCATCTTGAATACAATAGACAAACATGGCTGAATCCCCATAGAACTCTGAAGAATATTTCGAGGTGTTGTAAAGGGAATGAGAAGAGTATAAAAATATAGTGTTGAAATTCCATGTTTTCTATTAATGTCTCTGTAGTATTAATAAATCATGAAGATAACTATACCTGAGTCAGAATGCAAAAAAACGCACACTTTGAACAAAGTCCAAAGAGCCAGGGGATCTAAGTTACGGTAAAACCCCATCAAGTGATTCATTTAACTTTTTTTAGTTTAAACAAAATCACAGGGAGTGGGTGTGTATTTATGAATAGTTGAATTCTCACTCAAACAACATTTGAGGTCAGATTGCTTTTTTTGCAATTCATTTAAATAAATAAATTATTTTTTTAATTAACACTGTGGTTAGAACTATTTATGCAAAAAAGTGAATAGAAATATCTTACGATATTAATAACTAATTTTGAAACAAATAAACCTTAACAAGTTTAATGAACGTGTATCGGAACATTGTTCCCATGTTTGCTTAAACAAAAGACTTAAGACAAAAACGTCATCAATGGAACTGCGACTAGTCAGAAAAAATAATAAACATTGGCATTTATAACAAACAACTCGAACGTCATTGCAGGCTTTATTAACATAAACAATGTGGAGTTGTTGTCGTTGCGGCTTATATGACAAATTAATTGTAAATTACAATATTTAATATCTTGCTGTTGTAGTTGTTGTTGTTGCAAAACTGACAATTCAATTCATGAACAAAGCAATTAGCTATGAGAACTAATATCATGGAGACCTATCCTAACAATGATTTGTTTTGTATTCGAATTTCTATGAAACACATGATTTTATGTCGATATGTATGTATATTCATTACAATATGTATTTTTGCTAAAACAAGTTTTTTTTTTATTAGAAAACTTTCCACCGGCAACATTGCGTGGCATAGCCATAGAATTAACCACCACTTTTTTTGAATTGAATGGAAAATAAAAATATAAAATTATATTCTAATAAATAATTATTCCTTGTTGTTGTTTTTCCTTCTCTATTGATATCTAATAAATTATGTTAATACCTATAGAAAAATATAAAATAATTTTGGAAAAATTTCCATACAAAATGTCGATTTTTATTCATCCATATGATCATTTCTGTTTGGGAACAAAACAAGCGATTAATTTTTTGGAGGTGTGCAGTTGGAAGTGGTAGCAATTGAAAATTCAATGCATGTAGTTTTGTCATTGGATTTAATGACTCACTAATCATCAGGGTAAAACTTTTCCATAAATCATGATCCATGCAATAAAATCATGTTATACATATATTTTGTTTTACTATGCCATAAATTTGTTTTTCATTTTTTTTTTTTGAATTTTTTAAATAATTTGGGAATTTTTATAAATTTTAAATTAAAACGTTGAAGAAATGTTATCAACATTTTATGGTTAATTGTAAAGGAATTAATTGTGAAGGTATTATAGATTATGCATTCGCCAAGCGACATTACAATACATATAAAGTAAACAAACCGATTTTATGGCAAGGGAAACAAACCATCAAAAATAGATCACAAAACAAATACTAAATTTTTCATTGCAAAAATAAAATTTTTGTTTAGAAAAATATATTTCGGGTGAGTCCGGTCACACCACCTGCGTATTTCCCTGATGTAGGTATATTCTATGTCGTTTTATCGATGTTCACCATTACTTCTTTATGTTTAGTATTGAACGGTAACGGCATCCACGTTATGGTATAGACCTATTTTCTCACCAGATAAAAAATGTTCTGCAAGACTATTCACATTATCTAAGCCCCTCGATTTTAGATAGTTTGAAAACCCAATTTATGGTGGAGATTATATGATATTCGGCCTAGGTTAACTTAACGACTTTTTAATTTACTCTCATTAAATTTTTTCTCATCATGACAGTTTTCCACCCTAATAATTACATATTTCCAGCTGGCGTTAAGCCAAAGATTTAACGGAGGCTGGTACTTAAGGTTGATCGGCATGTCGACGTAAATATTTTGTTATGTCTGTCATAGAGCATGTCAACGGTATGTAAATTAAATGTATGACAATAGGAAAACAAAATAATAACAACAAAAAAGTCGTGACGAGGGCTTGTTCTCAGATTTGTCTTCACCACTATTTTTTGTGAGATGTTAACAGTGGTGGTGAAAAAGAGGCAGACATTTTTTTCTTATTTTTAAACATTCTATAAAGGAGACTTTATAACGGGGTTTTGAGAAGGGTTGTTTGTTTTGATCCTTTGACTATCTTCCGGGCAAATAGTGTTGGTCGAAATAATAGCAAGTTCTAAACACAGTTCGAAAAATGTTTCTTTTCTTTCAGTTTTTGGCGTTCCCGATTGGTTCAAGATTTTCAAGTTGAAAAATGAGTCACAGTGTTTTTGATAAGAACATGTTCTATATTTATATTCTCAAACCCATTCTCGATTTGAAGTTTCTACGGTTTTCAAACGATTAACTAATGAACGTACATTATATAGAATACTTAAAACGTTGCGCGTCTAAAGTTTGAGAGGTTCTCTTGCCATCGCTTGATGCTGACTCGGCTATATCTTCAAGAGTTGTTGAGATTTAAAAATTTAAATAGGACATTCTTGAATTATTGTATTTTCGAATTAAATAGAAAATAAAAATTATTTTTTTAATCGAGAATGGAGGGGGTCCCCTTAAAGGCCCATTTCTCTGTTCCTCTTAAAGGCCATTCTTTCTTTTCTCATTTATTTCGTCTAGTGAACAAATAATACATATTTTCCCAATTAAGTTGCTGATTCAGTTCCATTCTTCTACTTAGCATATATTAATATTAATTCATGTTCTATGAATTTTGTTTGCCACTGTTACCATTCACATCTGGTAACACACAATCTCACATACATACCTAAATTCCTACTTTATGTGTGCATGAATACTATTTTGTTAGTGTCTAACTCTAGACAACAAAAACGTATCGCGTTTATTGACCCAAGTTTAACTTTTAACAACAACAACAAATCAAAACAGCAGCATGGAACTTGTTGCCGTTTATATTAATTTGTTCATATGCTAAGTGAGTACCTCAGCGAGTGTGTGTTTGTTTGTCTATTTAGCTTATCACCTCCTATGCAATTTATAATAAAAAAACAACAAAAATAAAATTTTGTTTTTAACTTAACTGAAACTGAAATATAAAAACACACACAAAACAATAGCCGTGAAATGACATGTGAAAAGCACGCGACTTAGTTTTAATGTGAAATAAATCGTTTTCGCTGTACCAGATGTTGGTGATGACGTTGGGGAAATTTTATTTATTTTTTTGGTAATGGAAGTTTTTTATAATTAGAACTTACCAGCATGGCAATATTTAACATTACGACTTCATCATCTTCGGAACGTCCTTCGGATAAATGTTCCTGCCAGACCAAAGGATGACTGGGATTTGTCGACATGGTATTGTTTTCGTTGAATGTTATATTCTCGTGGGTCATTATTTCTCTGGAAGGGACGAGAAAATTAAATGCAATTAATATGGAAATTGACCATTATTTTCTAAGCTACAAAATTACACCTTATGTTCGACACACAAAATTATTCTTTATAAAAACAAAAGACCTAAGGCACAAACATGCAAAATTAAAAGCGTGTGAAAGGGTGTATTTTTAAAATCTTGGTATTATTTTTAAAAATGTTAGTTTTGATTTGTAAACAATCCAACTCAGACCATAAATAATAATTCAGTATAAATGATTCTCTATATGTCTCTCTATATTAAATCATTCTCTCTTCTCTCTAAACATTTTGCGTTCTGAATTTTACATTACAGTTTGCATTCTGTTCAGTATCACTTTCTTTTTATTTGTTTACAAAATATGTTAATTATATACCGGAAATTAATTTTTACATAAATATTTATTGTTTGTTTTCAGAATAAAAAATCGAGGTAGCTGACAATGCGCTGAGTAAGTAAATCATATTTCATGTTCGTTCTCAATCTCTGTATTAAACTACTTTATCGAAACTTACTTGTAAACATAGGGTCCAACTTGTTCGACATGCATTTTTTCTCGTCCCTCCATAAAGGCGGCCGCATTTGTTATATTAAATAAATAGACTTTTAAATATAAATCCACTGGAGGTTTAGCCCACAAATTGAAGATTTCGCCGCCTTCTGACATTGTGAGTTTCTGGAAAAAGAATGGAGGGAAATTAAATTCAATTTTTTCTTATTTATTTTTCTTTCGAGATGAGCTACATGATCGAAGTTGCTCATCTCGAAAGAGAGCTTATCTCGAGATAAGCTACATGATCGAAGTGGCACACCTCGAAAGAGAAATAAATAAAAAAAAAAATTACATGAATGATATTTCGCCCTAAAAAGGGATAAAACTTATTTTTTTCATTTTGGTTATATGGAGGGATGGAGATTATAAATGAAAATGGCAATTAATATAAATGAGATTGTGAGAATATGGGAATTTTCAGTTTTATTTGTCTGCTTTTGAAGGATGAAATTTATGATTTAAAACTATAAAAGACAAAATGATATAAAAAATAATTCATTGAGAAAAAATTCCAAATTTTTATTAAACTTACCCATTTGAATATCAAGTCATATGGATGAAATATTTTTACTAATACTGCTCCACATATGGCCAATATGCCAAGGGACAATAATAGAAAGGCACCTGCAAAATAAAAAAAGAAACAAATTAAAAAATTGATCACATATTTGTATACATAAATAATTGTTTGCTATATTAGAAAGAATTTCATGCTAGAACTAATATGACCTAATTATGGCAAAAACATACCATCGGACTGATTTATAAAAAGTTGTCTATTTTATTTATCTTATTTTATTTACAAACTAATAACCAACAAAATTAACAAATATCCATCAAAAGACTTAAGAAACATGCTTTGTTGCTGTCAATTACCAAGGCAAACAGAAAGACTTAAGACACATGCTCACACCCAATCTTCAAGGGGAAACTACAAGTGCTGATAGACATCATTTAAGGGGACCCCCCCATTCTCGGGATCAATTTTTTTTTTTTGATTTAATTCGATTTGAATATAGCCGATTTATTGTGTCAGCATCAAGTGACGGCTAAAGGGCTTCTCAAACTTTAAACGCGTTTTTCTCTTTTGCGAATGGCGGGCACGATAACTCAAAAACTAATAACCCAATCGATTCCAAATTTTTACACGTTTCTCTGTGAGTGTATAGCTATCGTATGAACTAGGATAAAGCCAATCGGTGAATATCTTCCTAATTTTTTAACTTGGTTTTTGTCAAAAATCGGCGATTTTCGAAAAATATTTTTTCATAGGTCCGCCATTTTGTTAATTTTAGAGCGAAGTCAATAATCTTAGTTCACACGAGAGCCAGACATGTACTCCGATGTTCCAGTGTGGAGTTATCATGCCCCCATCAAAAATAAGGATTTCTCATTAATTACAAAAAACAACAACAAAACAATTACAAAATTTTTTGGTAAATTATTTTTCTTCTCTTTTAAATCTTCAAATATATATGTGCAAAGTTACAAACCTTAACAAGCATTGTTATTGATTTACCCCCATTGAAAATCGAGAATGGGGGGTTCCCTTAAATGGTAACTTTGTTATTTTTTGCAAAAAAAAAAAAAAAAATTGAAACCCCTAAGGAGCAATGGGAGTTTTCAACACAATTAATTAGAAAAATAAATCATTATTTTTAAGGGCTTTTTTATTAACCATAATTTTTGAATTTAATTATCGTCATCATTTTGTGTGCAAAACCAATATTCTTGTTCTTGCTTTTTTGTGCCACCTTGTCGTAACTTGCCTAAACAATAACACCGCCACAAACTAGTTTCATTCCTTATGTGTGCGCTGGCTCATTATTGTTCTACTGGCAAAGAGAAAGGATTTTGTAAATTTCCAAGTCAAGGTCTTGGCAAAACCACAATGCCGGTTACACATACATCTACATGCATTCTTCGGGTGTAACATGATGGGACTTTGGATTACACTGGGGAACAAATCATTCCTTTATTATTATTATTACTTTTTTTTAATTAATGACTACTTTGTAATATTTTCGGAGGACTTTAAAGGACATTTTTGTCATCGAAAAGTCTATACCTCGATATATGCGTTGGAGACACCATAACCTTGATCAGAATAAAATTCAGTACTTTAAAATTTCACATATAGATTGCTATTATTCCTAGGATGTGTGGTATGATAAATGGGATATATCGATCCTTATTTTGGTATAGGTCCCATATAACGCTTCGGTCCATTAATAGGTATTTTGATGATTGTAGCCGCATTTCTGCAACTGATGGATTCTTAATTTGGCATTTTCGGGTTTTGAAAATTGACTAAAATCTTTGTAATATATGCCCATGATTTGATATAGGCCCCTGAAAGAGGTCCAGCCTCATTTTAGGTATTATATATAGAAGGATTTCCGAGTTCCTGGTGAAAAAAGAACTTTTCCACAGAAAATGTTCCATGTTTTAAAATAGCCCTATATTTGATAGCCTCTTGTTAGGCCCTAAGAAGTGCATCTTTTAAACAATTTTTATAGCCTCTTGGTAGGCCCTAAGGCGTGGATTTTTTAAACAATTTTTATAGCCTCTTGGTAGGCCCCAAGGGGTGAATTTTTAAACAATTTGAAATTTTTTAAACTATTAAAAATTTGAAACTTAAAGCTCTATTGATTTAAATTCAAATTAAGTCTTTAGGTGATTCATTGTTAGGGGAGTCCGAATTTGTATGTTTTTTTTTAATTTATTTTTAATATTAAAGTGCCTCCATTTTTAGCGTTTTTTTTCTGTTGCATGGTGTAACGAACCAATACATGTTGCAAACCCGAATATTTTTTTTAGAATTTTTTTTACAAAAGACAAAAAACTAGTTTAATTCTAGGCACGTACAATCAATACAGAGACAACATCCAGAAACCAACACACAAAAAAAGGAATTGAACTTGACGGCCCTAAATAAAATGTTGAACAAATATTGAGCAGGCCTGTCCGGCTGGCCATGCTGTCAAGAATACAAAGGAACTTTTTAATGATCTTAGTAAGGCATAGAACCAGTTTGAACGTTTACACACAAAAAAAGAATGGAGAATTGTCATATCTGATCATAGAGAGGCTCTTTGGAAAATTCCCACTGTGAGTGGAAAATTTCCATAGACACTTTTTATTTTTTTATTTATTTTATTTTGCTTCTTCCTTTTTTCTTAATGACAAAAGACATGAGTGTGTCAGACAACAGAAATGCAAAAAGCAATCAGAATGTTTTGTTTTTATTTTTATTTCATTTAGAACAGTTACAGAATAACAACAACAACATTTGTTGAGTAATTAATACCGTTAACGAAAGTGAGAATGCAATATTATGTAAATTTCAATCTCTCTCTCCCTCTCTTTCTGTCTCTTCCGCCATCTGACATATTATTTAATTTTCAAAACATATCCTCATTATTGGAAATGTTTTCTTGACAATGATAAGCATCATGCGCGTGCTTTTGATTGATGTTCATAATTATGAAATTACTAACACTTGATTTGTTAGATTGATTTCAAATTGGATTGAAATTCTTTGTTGTTGTTTTTGTATCTCAAATTATCAATAATTAGATATTTCAAATGCAAATTGTAGTGTTGCAGGTAGCAAAAAAAAAAAGAACAAAAAATTAATAGGGGAACAAATGAATGAATGAATATGCCTTTGCCCAATTAAAAATATATTGTTGTGGTTTCTTGTTTGTTTGTTGTGTTTTTATTTTCTTAGAGAAAAATATTCTAGAATTTGATTGACCACAACAACAGGATATTATTTAACTTGTATTAAAAGTTAAAATTTCGAGAGACTTAATTGTTTGTGTTTACTTTTTTTTATTACGTTATTTCTTTTTTTTTTTCTTCTTAAAAAATTGTTATGAATATTCATTTATCATTATATAATTTTTTAAAGTACTGTAAACGATGGGTTTTCGATATCGATATCTCTGTGTGACAACAATTAGATTTTGCTAGAATTTATTAATTTTTTAATTAATGGTATCGGACAGCAATTAAAGTTAACACATTGCAGATCAAATAGATAGCTAAAATTGTTTGATGAAACACCACCCAAGTGTTTATTAAATTATAAAAAATAAAAATGGAAAAGGGCGGTGTCATGAACTTTAGACAAAAAATACCATTTGTCTAATAGTAGAGATAATAAAGGAAAAATAAAAATAATGAAAAGAGAATGTTAAAGCAATTTGAATGCAAAGCCTTTTAGGAATCCCTAAAGGAGTTTAATTCTTTTTAAAACCCAATGATATATTGAATTTAAAGATAATATTTATACCCTACACATCTATGTTGTCAGGGTATTATAGCTTTGTGTAGCCCCAAGAGTTTGTAAGCAGAGAAATATTTGACCTAGACCCACCTTTTAGTACACCGATCGTCATATCTCGATTAGCTGAGTCGATCTAGACATGTGTCCGTCCGTCCATCCGTCCGTCTGTCCATTATAATTTGTAAACACGATACAGGTCACAGTTATGGACCAATCTTCACGAAATTGTTCATGTCGGATGGGTTCTGGCTAAAGAAGGCCGCTATTTCTTTTGGTAAAGATCGGTTAATATTTAGGAAATGAAATAGATCAAATACTTAATTTTTTTGCTTTTTCTGGACGCTCCAGAGACCGCAATTAAGGCCCGAACATATTTTACATGGAGAAGGTGATCGGGCCAAAGAAAGAAATATTGGTCATTATTTAGAGGGTCAAATGGACCCTGACTTTTGTTTGAAAAATGTCAAAATTTGTATTCCATAGCGTGTATATTTACCCCAAAAGGACATAGAGCCAACAAGTTGATTGCATATCCAAGAGGAGTGGTTGACTTTTAAATTGATACTAATTATATTGTGATATGTACTCGGATGTGGGAGTTAAACTTAAAAATTTATAGGTGCTTATGTATTCAGATATTATTTAGTAACCCATTACCACACTAGTGGGCGGAAATATAGCGCTGATCGCTTTAAAATTTTCCAGAGTTCCGTGGTAGTTGGGTAGGTTATCGTATGGTCGGCCCCATCCGACTATACTGCTCCGCTCAGTGGTTTTTATATAAGGATGGAATTCTTAAACGATAATTTGTATTCGAGGATATACTTCCTAGAAGAAGAATTTAATAAATTGTAAACATCCCTATTATGTAAGGGTAAGGGGTTTAATGTTTTTATTCTAGTTGTTATTATGAACCTATAATTGTTTTCCATGAAAAATCTTGGTCCAATCAAAATTGTTGTAGGGTATTTTTTGTTTTAATTAGATTGATTTTTTGTCGCTTTTGATGAAAAATAAGGCATTTATTATCTTTCCTCAATCCCACATCATTAAACGACATTTAACATTTCTTTTTGAAAAAAATACTACTAATACAACAACAAGCAACTTGTTTTTACTAAATTTAGTTTGGTTATTTTTGCAATTAAATAAATATTTAAATTAAAATTTGCATTTTTTGTGCATTTTGTTTTTTTAATACAATTAAATAAAATATTAATAAAAAAGAAAAACAACTAGAAACAAGTTGCAGCTAATGCACTATTTTACATAAAACATGGGCGTAGATGTAAATGATTTTCAAACTAATTTTATTTTCCAGACCACTTGA